TTTTATTCAAATTTAAGTAAAGAGGCTTAATTAAGATCACCTTGTCAGAGGAGACTCAGAACTTTAAAATGAAGGATGGTTGCCTGGTTGAAGTCAGCTTAAACAAAATAAACTATGGACGAAAATATTCAAAGCAAGTGCTTGTGAAACTCATAAAATGATCACAAACTGTGCATTTTCATTGGTACCCATGTTTACCTTAATGAGTCAAATGGTTTGTGACATCCAAAATATCACAAAGTAGTTGGTAATAACAAAGCAACAACAGTTTTACCAACCTTCTTTTACTGTTTAAAGAATGCTAAGACTCTTAATGAATTTTGCACATTCAATACTAAAAGTACTTATAACATTCATGTCATTTGCACAAAGTTGGATCTTCTTCTTCTCCATCTGGATTGAACCTATTGAAATGTATGCTGAAATCATGCTCAGATTCAACAGTTCCAAGTTCACTTGAAGTAGAGGCAGTGGCTGGCCGTACAGCCCTTGCTTCCGGCAGACAGTTGGGCTGTATCTGTGGATGGGCACTTTGAGAACCAGGAATGGATTTCTGCTTAGGATGAGCTGCTTGGACAGGACCAGCAAATCCCAAATTGCTTAGAGCATCCAATGTTCCATCAGGGTCAATCATTGAATTAATCACTGAACAAACAGAAAAAGCAGGAAAGAAATCAGTTTGACTGCTGGTTAACTGAGTCAAAATTAATATAATATTACGCAGTCTTATACTTTCCTTTTCACCTCATTTTTTTCTTGGAAAATTTTAAAAACATCGTACATCCAGGGCCATTAACCTTAATAGTTCAAGACAAGAAACAAAATTTACTAAGCAATAACCAAGGGATACTGTACATGTACAGTATATGGTCCTTTTGTGTGTTTATACCAAATCAAACAACATGCGGGAGCTGCCTTGATTAAAATATCAGTGTTGGATCACTACCCTCATCAAGCAAAAAAACCCAAAGGCTTATTGGTCTGCAGACACAACTAGCACATTGTGTTCTCTCTTTATTAGATTCAATGATAATTCTTAGAAAATAGAAATGATGGATGGCTACAGGCCAGCAGCTATTTGGAAGTATTTTACTGCCCAAAAATAAAAGAGAGGGTAGGAGACATACTGGATAGTCAGAGTGCATTCTAACCAGTTTGAATATTTTTTCTGTCAGAGTGCATTCTAACCAGTTTGACTATTTTTTCTGCCTCCCTATGTCACCTCAGCATTAATTTTGTGAATTGGCAAACCCTTTCTCTCTAGGCAGAGAGATGAATCATCCTCAGATTTTTAGATTGTCCTACTGACTCAAACAGGTTCATATCACTATCTCAAGTTCCCTATTCAAATCAATATCTTGGTCATAGCGGGAACCAAAGATAATATAAAAATAAGATATAATCATTCCCACAATAATAACCAACATTATGAAATGAAGGGCTAAGAGTTAAGTTTAACAATACAAAACCTATACTCAGAAAATAGCACAGGTTTCCACAGTGATGTTCAATGGGTTTAAAGGGGCAAATGGATCAGACAAGGCCTATTCCTGTTTATGTGCATGCAATAAAAGCTAAAAAACAACAACTAAGGTTTCCCGTCCAGTCGCACATTTAAAAAGGGCATGGCTTATAGGGTATGTGTATCGTTCAGGCAGCATGAAGAAAATAATACAGAAATAATAAATAAAATTGCTAAGAATAAGTATTAACCATTTTGTTTGTATATTCTGCTTATCAAAAACCTATGGAAAATCTAGCTTGATTGACCTCCTCAAAACTGCTAATAGATTAAAGTTTATATTTTAGATTCAGATTGTCTATCAAGCTGTAGCAGCCATCTCCGAGCCTATTGTTAATATTTTTGTCCTTGAAACAGGATACAACTGTAATCTAATTTTCTTTATGTTCTGGTTCTCTTCAGATAAGTGTAAAACAGAGGTCCCCAACCTTTTGGGGCACCAGGGACCGGTTCTGTGGAGAAAGATTTTTCCGCGGACCACAAGGTGCATGGTTTCGTGTGCTGCCTGCATCTCGTGGATGGGGCTTTGCTTGTTTGTGCGGCCTGGTTGCTGGCATGCCGCGGCCCGGTACTGGTCCACGGACCGGGGGTTGGGGATCCCTGGTGTAAAAATTTCGCCTTAAGTCATGATTTCCAGGGCACACATTTCTAAAGCAAAAAAGTCTAAGAAACAGATAATATCCTACAGAAGCTTATTCACTATTAATTTCCATTCCATAATTTAGTAAACAGCCTTGAAACCCAAGTCCTATTCCACATCCTATATAAATGTTATATGTTTATTTTTCTGCAAACTGCAATTCTAGAAATTATTGGATAAAACATTAAATACCTTGCAGTTGTTTCTCCACTCTCTTCAATTCTTGCAATATTGATGAGATTTCCTGCAGGAACAAATATGTACCTTTGACTAAGGTTCAAGGATGAAATACAAAATAGCAATCTCAATAGCTCACCTATTGCTCTCCTTATAATGCAGCCCAGTCCAAATGTTTTTTCTGGTTTAAAGATGACCCTTTCCTAATTACAGTTGATCTAACTGAATGGAACACACAAACAACTGGTTTTATAAAGCCAGTTTAGTATTTGATTTGACAAAATGGTAGGCAGTGGTGATTTTCAAAGATATAGGCTTGGATGCTCTCTCAGTCTCTTCAGTGTTAGGTAAATTCTGGTACACAACGTCAACATTTTGAGATTGAGATTAACTTTGCACTGGCTTTTATAATAACTGAACAATCATTTTTTTTAAAGTGGATTTATTTTTAATGACAAAATGTCTCACTTCTATTTCTTTAAATCTTTAATCATTGACAGCCCTCATCATTTTGAAAGAAGCCTCTGTTATTTTAATCATACCATGCTTGATGTTTTCACAATTGGGATATCACTTTCAGCTCGCAGTTTTTTTTCAATGTCTTCCCAATTCCGGTCTTTGTCTTTGAATAATATTCTGTAGCCAAGAAGCACAAAAAAAGTGATGTGTCTTATTATTTATTCAATTTATTTCCTGCCTTCAAAAAGTGTTCAAAATACCAAACATTAAATTAAATTAATAAATTAAAACTATTAATAAAATTAACTATTAAAAGCCTGAAAAAGTAAAGCAACAAAGATGATTAGGGGACTGGAGGGTAAAGCATATAAGGAACGGCTGCTGGAATTGGGTATATCTAGTTTAATGAAGAGAAGGAAGATGGGGGGACATGATAGCAGTATTTCAATATCTCAAGGGCTGCCACAAAGAAGAGGGAGTCAAGCTATTTTCCAAGGCACCTGAGGGCAGGACAAGAAGCAACGGATATAAACTAATCAAGGAGAGAAGCAACCTAGAACTAAGGAGAAACTTCCTGACAGTGAGAACAATTAACCAGTGGAACAACCTGCCTCCAGAAGCGGTGAATGCTCCAACACTGGAAGTTTTTAAGAAGAGACTAGACAGCCATTTGTCCCAAATGGTATAGGGTTTCCTGCCTGAGCAGGGGGTTGGACTAGATGACCTTCAAGGTTCCTTCCAACTTTACTATTATTATTATTATTATTATTATTATTATTATTATTATTATTATTATTATTATTATTATTATTATTATTATTATTATTATTATTATTATTATTATTATGTACTTTCCCAATTTTCTGAATGCCAAGAGAGTAGGCAGCAACTCCTTAGGGCAGAGGTGTCAAACTGCTGGCCCGTGGGCTGGATGCGTCATGCTGAAACCGCGTCCACCCCATCACGTGACGTTGCGAATTTGACACCCCTGCCTTAGGGAATGCAACCCATAGCTTGGGAGCAGGAGAAAGCTCTCTTCCAAGGGCCAGCAAAATGAGCTTCTGGTAGTGGAGACAATTTAAAAAGAGCATCTCCTGCAGCTTTTAATGCCTGGGCAAGTTTATAATGGGAAAGCAGATTCAAAGCTCTTTAGATCTTTAAAGATTAATGGCAACATCTTACATTATGCCTGAAGAGCAATTAGAAATGAGTATAGATCTTTCAATGCAGGGATTATGTGTTCCCTTATTTTAGTTACATGCTGCATTTTTTACCAACTGCAACTTCTGGATATTATTCAATGGTAAATCTACATAAACCACAATGTAATAGCCAAGATGGAATGTAATACTTCCATGATTATGAGTTTCCAAATCTCATTGGTTCAAGAAAGAGCAAGTAAACATTTTAACCAAGATACAGCAAATGTGCTCTAGGCAAGGGGTGTCGAACTGCCGGCCCGCGGGCTGGAATGCATCATAGCAAAATTGCGTGCACATTGCCGGCAATGGCAAAAAAGACACGATACATCGCGACACGTCACGTGACGTTGTGAGTTTGACACCCCTGCTCTAGGCCATCACTGTTAATTGTGAATCTAGTGATATCTGAGATGTATTTCCAGACTGTGGACTTACTCTAAAATCCAATGTCCTTACTATAAAAAGAGCACCTTTGACAAACACCTCTAATATTGAGGCTGAGCATCGGTCACAATCCTGGGAGAATCAAAACAGATAATGATCAATGAGACCAAACAGTCTGGGAGCAATACTTTGTGCCAAACCAAAGTGTTGAACTGTAGTGGGATAAAACTGAAGCTGATAGGACAATGCCATTGAATTCACGTTGCACATGGAACAGAAGCACCACTGATTGTGCGAGTTTGTCAGAACATAGAAGGGTTTACTGTACCCCTTCTGGTCCTTCTGAATCTCACAGCAGCATTCAGTACCCTCGACAATCATGGTATCCTTTTTTGAGTATCTATGAAAATTGAGCTTTGGGAGCACTGTCCTTCAGGGATTCTACTCCTTTCATAGTGGTTGATTTCATTTGGTGGTTAAAAGAAAAGAGAGTTGATCAAGTGGCCCCCTATGTATGGAGTGACATAGGGTTCTTTTCTCTCCCATTATTATTTAACATCTGTATGAAGCTGCTGGGAGAGACCATGCATTATAATAGTATATAATATCCATATGCTGAGTTAAACCCAGGTTTCTGTTGCCATCTCAACCTAAGCTGATAATATTGTAAAAGTTTTGGTACCCAGACCTTATAGAATGTAACAATCATAAAACAGGTGGAAGTTGAACTCAATTAAGATGAAGTGCTGTTTATGTAGCAAGGCTCTTGTTATCTCCACTTATATCTCTTAAGCAAGCAGCATTACCCCCAGAATGAGCAGATTTGCAACTTGGGGTTCCTTCTGTATCCATGGCTTCTCCTAGATATACGGATGGAACCTATAACCATAGAGGCATTTGCCTACGATCTGCAAATTTTCCCTCGCATCTACCTTTGCACCTCTTTTTCCTAGCCTTCCCAGTACCTCCCCATCTAAAAGATATGGTTTGGCTGTAATTTACCTTGAAGTCTGTCACTACCCAAAGGTGAACCTCTTGGTGGCATGCTGAGGTTTAGCTGCGCTGCCTCAATAGGCCCCCTCCACTTCAGTAATAGCGCACAGTTATGCATAGCCCTTGATGCTGACTGACGCAAAAGGGGCATACTCCATTCCAACAATTGGAAGTCATAGGCCACATCATTGGGTTTGTTCAAAAAAGTCATTTTAACTGAAACTCTGTAAAATTGAAATGCTCCTTCAAAGATCAGCATAGCCTTACTAAAATGATTTTCTATTTGTGTTTGTTTCTTCTTTCCTATTTCATGTATGCACATGTTTCATCCTTCTCAGTTTATTACAACTGGGAGAATTTTGCAGTGCTGGTGACCTAGTTTTGCAATAGTCTCCTCAAAAAAAGCTTTCTGGGCATTCATTTCAATATCTTTTAAATTCTTGCAGATCTTTTCATTTTCCAATTTTTGCCTTTATTACAAAAATAAAAATAGGAGAGAAAACTAAGACAAAGAACAAGAGGCGCACAGGATGTTATTGAAAGGGTTTTGAAAATAGCTCAATTTTCACTGATTTACTGGGGGGAGGGGCTGCACCTTTTTATCCTTATAATATCTTATATCTGCCCTTATAATATATTTGAAAGGCAAAGTAAAATTTTCTTCTCGTGGATCTGTTACAGAAAAACCATCCCTCGGTTGACTTACAGCAGTCTCTGAATGTCTGCTTATTTTCAGAAGCCCAGGTACTTGCATATTAATGCAATAAACCAATGTTTTCTTACAAACCTCAAAATATCAATTTCAATTTACACATTTCCTCAGATGAAAGCTAATTTGCTGAAAACATACTCTCTTCTACAAGTTAATGAATTAAATTAAATTCTACATTCGATGTTTTTAAATGGTTACAACTGCAACTATATAAACTTCATGTAAGTAGAAGCGATTACCCCTATTTTACCATTTGGTATCAAAAATTGCTATTGTGGCAGGTAAGTCTGCACATAAGTATGCAAACAAAAGTTTTGATATCTGGTTTGTAGGGAACTTGACGATATCAAGGAGGTTTTGTATAATCTGAAAGAAGTTCTCTTCTGGCACATAGATTATTCCTAAGTCAGTAAATCTCCATTTATTGGACAGTATTGTGTGTAAACAGAATCAGTATCTAACAACTGAATCACTGAATAGGTTAATTATTGCCACAACTATGTGTATTTATTAGAGTTAAAATGCAACTCCAGGCTTTCATTTCCCATGTCAACTAGACAACAGTGAAAAAAAAAGTTATTTCAGAGATGAACAGCTTTACATTGATGATTCTGTGAAGAACAAATCTAAGTATACGAATACTTAGATTTAGTCATACCTAATGGCTTACCTCTGTAGGCTGTACTTGAAGGACAAGCTAATGCTCTAATTCCTTGTTTGTTGTGACTTCCCTAGAGAGTTGTGTGGTATACAAGTTTAATTTTACCCATATAGTTGTATGGGAAGAGTAAATATATGGGGAAAGTAGCTATTCCATTGTCTCTGGAAAATATTGCTAATTCTTTTAATGCCTACGCATTCAGGAAAAATCTGCAAAATTGCAGGAATTCTAGATTTTCATGCTTATTTATTTATGAAATTTATGAGCTGCCCCAATATGTTATGACTCTGGACAACTTACAAAATACAACTGTCAACGCTGCTAACATCGGATGTTCTTGTTTTGACAACAGATGGAAATGTAGCCATTTTCTCTATTGCTTTTAGAATTAGTTGCTGCTGGGAGGGGGAATAGGGATGAGAGTCCAGCTAGTCATAACAATAATAACTTAATCGTGGGAACCCAAGGACATTGGGCCCAGAGCTGATAGTGTTTTGGCGGGCTGGAGAGCTGGGGAGAAAGCCCGCACTTCAAGCTAATTGGGGAATGTGATTTATGACTGTTTATTGGAGGAGAGAATTGCACTTTGTTACTTTGTATCCAGGGGAGGGGAATTTAGTTTCTGGTTTCAGTTATGTAGTGCCAATACTTTGTTTCTCGAATAAAAGATTCTTTAAGGTAAACAATGCCTCAAAGTTCTTTTGAAGAGTTTCATCTGTTGGAATCATGACAACAACGATAAGCATATCACAAACAAAAATAATTAAAAGTCCAGAAAAAACAACAAACATTTTAAATTATACCCAAAGTCTGTACAACATTCATCACTTATTCTAACTTACGTGCTAGGAATAATCAAGCTGTATGCTCATAATTAGCAATTTACTTTGAATTGTTATTTATATGTAATGGTCCACAATGATTGCTATTCTCAGTTTTTCATGACTACACACTTAGAATAAAAATAAGTAAAAATTGTATATAGTATATTATAGTATACTATAAAACAGAAAATACAGCAAAAACACTTACAGAATGAAAGCTTTTAAATAACATTCAAAATACAACAATATTCTAATTCTTTTATGTCATCCATCTGATGCATGGATGAAATACAGAAATTGGATAAGACTAGTGTGTTTAAAAAGTAGAATATTATCTGCAGACCTACCATAAATTCGTTCTTAATTCTTGTCTAAACTAATCTATTAAGATCCAGAATGATTTTAAACCTAATTATGTTTTCTTGGTCTCAGTCCCACGCCAGTAATATGAACATTTTATACCTGTTCTATTTTTAGGAAAAAGTATTTTTATTCAAATAAATTACTGGATAGACAAGTTACAATAGAATACTTTTATGAAGAAATAGTCATGATATGCAAAAAAAGAACTGTTATTTCAAAAATGTGGGAGGAGTAGGTAAAAAAACTTGAGAAAAGCACACTGTATGTTGGGTAAAAATGGCCAAGTCATTAGAAAGGGGAAAAATCATCTCCCAATAGTAAAAGTAGAGTTTGAAAACTGCAATAGACATATTCTTTATATTGCTAACAAAATTAAGGTAAACAGTAAGATAACTAAAAGTAAGATTCAATAACTTCAATTCTGTATGGTTTACAGGAAAGAAATTATCAACACCGTAGTGGAAATAACATATATAATTAAAAATGTCTGTAACGTATGAAGGCTGTGTTCTTTCTTTTCCTCCTTTTATTTCTTAATCAACAGTATTCTTCAACTCAATTGTAAGCCAGAAAATAAGAATATCAAATACTATATTTTAAGTCTTAAGACTGTATATATAGTAAATATCAAAATTTTAATAGCAGCTTTTGCAAGCAATATTTTTGCTAAAGAAAATAGAGTACCTTATTTTACCAGCTGTTTTATCTATAGATTGCCGAATCTTCCGAGAAAACTGGAAGACTGAGGACAACAGCAAAGTATCTCCCATAACCTGAAAATTTTTGAAAATGAAATTTTAAATTGATGTAATAAAGATTTTATTCTTACAGAAAGCAAAACCAAGTATCCTAATTCATTTTTTCACATCGTGCTCAAAGTAATTTCTGTCATATAATTTCACTTAAATCATTTAAATGATGATATTTGACTTAGATCAGTGATGGCGAACCTTTTAGAGACCGAGTGCCCAAACTGCAACCCAAAACCCACTTATGCATCGTCGGGTGCCAGGTGGGTATGGCCCATTGGGTGGGCGTGGCTGCGGTGGTAATGGCAGACTGGGTGGGACTAAAAAGTTCAATCAATCAATTCCAACTTTGCAAGATCTTTTTTTTCCCGTGAGAAGTTGAAATTGACTGATTGATTGAACCTTTTTTTTTTTTGCACACGGCGGCGGAGGCCTAAAGCGAAAAGGTTTTATAAAACCCAGCTGAAGGCCTAGGACTGGGGCGACGGCGCGCGTGCCCACAGAGAGGGCTCTGAGTGCCGCCTCTGGCACCCGTGCCATAGGTTCGCCACCACTGACTTAGATAGTATTAAATAGATGTCTAAAATACATATTTAAACCTGCCTAATGTAAAATAACTTCAAGCTACTACAGTCAAATGGTGAAGAGTTCCATTATTATTGTACATATTTATTGCTAATACTATTGGATTATATTAGTTTATAAAGTTTGGGGATAGAGAATTTACAATACAAGAAAATGTAACTATAATTTAAGAAGGAATCTGCTCAGTGAGTTACAGAAATAAGCATCCTTAATTAAGCAGCAAAGAACTCAGTGGCTCTAAATATGGAAGAACTGTAAGTCCTTGACTTACAACCATTTGTTTAGTGACTGTTCAAAATTACAATGGCCCTGAAAAAGTGATTTATGGCTGTTTTCCACACTTACGACCGTTGCACATGTCATAGTCACATGTTCAAAATTCAGACGCTTGGCAACTGGCATGTATTTATGACGGTTGGAGTGTCCTGGGATCATGTGATCACCTCTTGCGACCTTCTGACAAGCAAAGTCAATAGGGAAGCCAGATTCACTTAACAACTGTGTTACTAACTTAACAACTGCAGTGATTCACTTAACAACCGTGGCAAGAAAGGTTGTAAATTGGGAGAAAACTCACTTAACTGTCTTGCTTAGCAACAGAGATTTTGAGCTCAATTGTGGTTGTAACTTGAGGACTACCTGTATTCTCTAATGTGAGCAACTGTCAACGCAATGTAAAGTGTAGAAGCAAACACATGCCAGATGAAATGGAATTATTTCAGATTTTAACTGCACCCTATTTAAAACTTTTTATCAGATAATACCATACAATGTAATACAATTACGTTAAATTAGATACAATTTAGTGAAGAATTTTAAAAAGTAATGCCAGTGCATTTCAATAGCATGGTTAAGGGTAAAATATAGGAGCCTAGTTTTTCAAATATAATAAGGAATCGGTACATTTAGTTCCAATTATATAAAGGCTGTGATTTTTATAAATTTGATAAATAAATAAATACACTTCATTCCAGAATATCTAGCTCAGACATAATGATAAAACTATGGCTTTTCAGTATTTAAGACATCTTATTTTGGGCTTCTTCCTCCCCTTTGTCCTTTTCTGTCCATCAGAAGACATGAGAATTCTTCTTCAGCGTTTTGCCTTTGCTAACCCCTACCTCCTGCCCCTAACAAACTTAAAGCTGCCTGTGGAACAAGAAAAACATTAAGATGCACAATGGAATTTTCTTATCTGATGTCCTACCTAAAAATGACAGTTTGCTCTATGTCAGAGATCACTAAACTTTTCATGCTGGTGGCACGGAGGGAAAGAGAGCAGCTGGGAAATTTGCGCATGTGTGTGCGTGTGAAAACGGGGCGTGTACCCACACGGCACTAGAGGCCCCATTTGTGTAGGCGTGCAGGCGCTAGCCGCTGCCACTAGCCCTGCATGCATGCGCAAACGGGTCCGTGGGCACTAGCGCGAGTGAGTACGCACACATGTGTGCGTGCACTGGCCAACTTGTCCCACAGCCTGGTGGCCAGTAGGCCATGGCCCAGTAGTGGGCTGCGGCTCATAGGTTGGGGACCCCTGCTCTATGTGGTTTAGCACTGAAAGCTAAAAATAAGTAATTCTGTGTAATTTTTGTTCAGTTCTTTATATAAAATATGAATCCTTACTTCATCTCTGCTCCAGGTTCGGCGACGTGTAATTGTGGGGGGTTCAGGTACATCTGTTGTCTGTGGTTTGGGATCATTCGGCCGAATGTTTCCATCTGGTGTTTTAGCATTTACTACTGGAGGAATCTTCCTGAAGTTTAGACTTTCATCAAACACACGGTCAACGAGCTGAAAAATATATTCATATATATATATAATTGATAACAAAGCCTAATCTTATAAAGCCGTCTGATTAGAAGTATTCTGAGGCCCATTTATTATGATCTTGCTACAGAAAGACATAAACACCCAAATGATTTGAAAATTTAATTTGTTATGTACTGAAAATAAAATATTTTATTAATTTTACCAAAAGATTGATTGCCCATTATTTTAATTTTGAGGTACAGAAATACATTCTTATTTAAGTATTGAACAATGCTGTGTATAACACTATTTATGTATTCTATACTATAGATTACAGTTTACTGCTAACATAAGAAGGGGCTTTACATTTATTTAGTAAAGATGTAAATCAACATTATCTATCTTAGAGAAAAATGCATATTTATATTAGCAGATGCTTAGTACACATGTCTAGAGAAAAGAGAAAGAAACCAACACAAACCACAGTAAAATCACACTGAATAAATGATATTATGTGTCTTTTTTATACCCATTTTGTAAAAATGTACACAGAACATGATGTTAATTAAGTCATGTGCAAGCTGCTGAAATAAATAAAGGGAGACAACACAGTTGATGGAGAGAAATATTCAGGGTTGGCAATATTCACTATTGTAGGATTATTTCTGTTAGATTATGTTTCTGGACTTTAATGCACTTGACTACTCATATGCTCCAGCCAGTGCTTTTGCTGAAATCTCTCTTATTTAAGAATGGCCACCTTAAAGCCTGTGACACAAAATTCTGAAATTTTGAAGTGTTCCCTTGCTGTTTCTGATTTCAGATCTATGTCTATTTATTCACTGTATATAGAGAGTAGCCTATTTAAATGATAAAACATTATGAGATAAGCTAAGCAAAAAGAAGAGAATCTCCATGTTCCAGGGCTGGAAAATTCTAATGTTCCCAGCCGTTCTAGGAGCAATTCTTCTTTTATTTTATTCCAGGTACAACCTGATCCTAAAAAAGACCCATTTTGGAATTAGACCTCTGAGTCTAGATACTCTCTGAGTCTAGAGTTCTGCATATTGTTTCCTGTAATGGAATATTAACCTCAAGGAAGAGACACATTAACCTCGGAGGTAATGGATGAGTATATTTTGGAAGCTGGATATGGACGTTTTCTCAACCACAGTTAAGACATATACAAAAATTGAAAATGAGAAGTATGATTTGGTTGTACATGTCACTGTCAGGCCCTCTAATAGTACTGCCAAAGCAAGTTTGAGAACAGTTATTTTTTAAGAAAATCTTCCTCTCTTAAAATGAAAAAAAACCCCTCTCATATTCAAGAATTAATTTTCAGTGTAAATGTAGCTGGTGTTATTATAACTTAGTTAATGCAACCAATATTGAGGAATTCTCTTTGATATTTTATTAAAAGATGAACTGAATCAACTATATGAAAGAATGATTATATCATTTATGAGAAACTACCTAGAAAACATAGTGTTTACTATTGTCCACCTTTTAAAACTACTTATACCAAGCAAACTGCCAACTCTGAAAACAAAACAAATTAATTCAAAAACAACCTAATTATAAAGTTATAAATTTAACCTAATTTATGAATTTTAATCACTTGTTGAAGTTTGCAACAGTGATATGAGAATGAAAGACAGCATATAGTAGAAGATCAGGGAAAGCCAAAACTTGATTTTTTAGATGTTATTATTTGTGTTATTTTGTTAGAGTAATTATTTCCTTCCATCCCAGAGCTTACATAGGGATCATCCTTCATTTTATAAGTCTGAGTTAGGTTGGCATGAGACATACTGTATAGGCGAAAGTGAGTTTCCATGGCTAAGCATAAACTTTAGTCTGGGTTTTCCTAGTCCTGCTTTAACACTTTAATCACTACAGCACAATTTTATGGCTATGAAGGTATGTCTGTTTAGATTATTATATACTGAAAGGGGTTTAATTTACTTGCTGATTCTAAAGGTATGTCAATTTAGATCTATTGTTTATTATGAATTGAGAGAGATTTAATTTACTGGCTGATTATAGACTATTCAAAAGCAAAGATTAATTAAATGCAAAGCCATTTTAAGACCACTGATCATGCATAAATTTATTTATTTCACATATAACATTTTGTAAATATCTGGCATTGACGTATGCTTAAGGGTTCTTTTTCACTAGGGAATATGTAGGCACAGCTGATTTGTATCTGTGCCTTTGGATGAAAAAAAAATACAGAATGTTGTTACAAAAAAATCAACACGGACGTGTGTTCAAAACACAACTGCTTTCTACACTGACCATATGAAGAGATCTGCCCATTAACTATTGGAATTAATTTTCGATCATTGCCCATCTAACTTTAAAATTAAAGAAAGAGAATGCTGAGATTCGTGCACACAAGAGTGGAGTAATCAAAAGCATGTCAAAAGAGTAAAACAAAAGAAATAAAGAAAAGAAAGAACCTTATGCATTTCTCCATGAAGATCTCCTACCTCTTCTCTAGTGTCTATGGCAGAGCCAGGGGTGGTGGCAGCAGTGCTTACTGTGGTACTAGGAGCAGTGCCTGATGAAGTCACTGAATCGATCTCTCCTGCTACATCATTGATTTCCCGGGCAATGAGAGCCAAATCTTGACTGATCCTGTTGATGATTAAAGTAGCATTAGCAGCACAAAGTAGGGGAACTGATCAATATCAGAGCTTCTAGTTGAGACAGTTGGAAACATGAAGCATTTTCTTAGTTTTCCCTTTTCTAATAATTCCACAAAATTAGTTGCAATTTAACAGGGCTCTGCGAAAACGTTACCTTTCTTCTACCATCATTATATAAATCCACCTCAACCATTTTTGAGCCAGAATCCATTATACTACTTTACATTTGCAAGTGCGTGTGCATGTACATTTCAATCACCACTACGCTGTATTTTCTCACCTTATTAACCAGGGTTTTTAATTAGATTCTTTTACTAGGAAGAACTGAAATCCAATATCTCATGGGAAAATATATATATTTGCTTAATGTGATTCTCTGCTCTACTTTTTCCTTTCAAGTTCTTTGCTCCTCAAGTTTGTTCTAGAGGGTCCTCCAACGTTTGAAGTATCTTAAAGGGAATGGAGTTGCAGAGAAAATCACCACCATCCCATTCCGTTGATGTTAACAGGCGGAACTGAATACAACTCCAGGAAAATATTTTTGCATATACATATTTGATCATAATTCTATCTCGGTACAATTGAGGGCTCTGTGCCCATGCTTTTCCTGCTCAGAGCCCATTCACAATATCATTGTTAACTTTGCTCATCTATTATTAGATTTCCCCTTTGTTTCCCTCCTTAAATTTATCAGTGTCTAAAAGTCCCTTGTCTCACATGGTCAATCTGTCTGTCTTTATTACATAGTTAATAAAACATGGTCTTGGGGAAAAAACTGACATGGTTTAATTTTGTATGTATATGTATTCTGCGTAAGCTATTCTGTGTTTTAAAAACTGGATTTCACAAAGATTCGATCTGGAGATATTAAATAATACTATGTTTTTCTGAGTATGGCCAGAATATGGGTATTTTGCTGCTTTGTTCCTGTTACAGGTGTCCATAAATACACAAAGCTTTAAGGAAGTCTAGAAAATGGTCTGTTTTCTGACGTTTATGAAAACAGTATTTTAAGATTTAAACTAACACATTAAATTAGAACTAATTAATACACTTTTTAATGAATAAAGTTTGGTTGGGAATAGAAAACATGCGATGTGTTGACTGATCTAACAACTATTTGTATTGTTATGCAAAAATATTGCATTCTACTTCAGATTAAGGAAGCCATTCTCAATTGAATTTCCGAATGCTACACAAAGTTATTCACACACAACGTGCCACTCATCTAATCCAGAGTTGAGAATCATTTTTGTTCTGAGTGCCTCAGACTTTCTTTAGGAGGTGCAGAAAGCAAGGCAAGGAACATCATTGTGCCACCAGAGTTTGTGATCAATTTTTGAAGTAGGGGATGAGGTTAAGGAGCCTCATCTATTTTGCTAAGGCATCTATTTTGCTTTATGATTTTCCCCAAAGCTTATGGTTTTCTAAAGGATGAAATGGATGTCTTAAAGCAGGGGTGTCAAACTGCCAGTCCACGGGCCGGCTGCATCATGAAGAGGCTGCACCCACCCCAGCTCCGGCAATGTGAAAAAAGTTGTGAAATGTTGCGACACGTCACGTGATGCGGCAAATTGGACACCCATGTCCTAAAGCATACATTAATTAGTGATTTTTTTTTTTTAAAAAAAGATCTTTAATCAGAGAGTAAAAAACCTCCCTCCAAAGTTTCTTTTATCAAGGCTGCAAAAGAGGCACTGGAAGTTAAGGGTTGTTTACTTGGGAGATAGGAAGCCCAGCCACTGTCCTTCGTAGTCACTATCATTTTGCTGATGTATCCATGCAATGATTGTAGTGTAAACAGACTATCTAATTAAGCATGAATTATTTCAGTTACTTTTCAAGGAAGTCATATTTACTTTTCATCTGGTCCTATTCCAGTTTTGAGAAGGTAATCTTCAGAAAACCCCTCAAAGCCAAGTACAGATCTTATAGCAATCTATGCCATGAAGTTGCACGACAGACCAGTTACATAATTATCTTTCCAAGTAACTAAATTGAAAGTTTTTCGCATTACTCCCATAGGGGGTTGTGGAGAATGGGGAGGACAGCAGCTTGTTCACAGTGATATCATGTAAATGCCACAACTTATATACTTGCATTAGATGTCAAGATATAAGCAAGTATTTGCATGATAACATCACTGCATGTTGCCATTTTTTGGCATCACTGTGGTTTGCTGCAGGCACTGCTGGACCTCCTGATGGTGCCAAAATTATGAGTGAAAGAGAGGCTATAATTAATGTCTTCTGCTTTTCAGAGAGTTGTTATTTCTTGGAAAGCCAACCTTGCTATTTCTTCTCGATGGGCAGTCCAATCACGAATGTAGTCCTCTTGTTCTTTTATCCTATGCTTGAAGGTATTGCTACTCTGTACTGGTGTTCCAATGTTCTGCACTCGAGTAGTTTTCAGGGCTGGAGAAGTACGTAGACGGGCATGTTTAGGAGAATTACGGTTTGATCCAAATTCATCTTCTGAGGTGGAAGCATAATCAGTAGGAAAGCGCCTCCATCTTGAATTTACTAAATTAGTTTAATTATTGAAAAAGAATTATTGTTGTATTTATTGCAGATAATACAAGTATGACTTTAACATGATAGCATACCAAAGTTGCTTAATACCAAACCCCAAATGCCTCATTAAAGTGCTTACTAATTTGAAACTAAAAAAAATAGAATTTTGTTAAATAATAAACACTAATTGACAAAATGTGAAAAAGAATACTCTGTGTACAATGTTGAGTTAATAAGACAGAATATTAATATTAGTCTAAAATAATAAGCCAATACAGTGAATCTGTATGCTTTTTTTGCAAATTACCCCAATTTCAAAAAAATGTGTAACTGCATATTTGACAACACATGGAAACATAAGCACTATTAATGGGATGATTTAGAGAAGAAAAACTATAATTTGTGTCATTTGAAATGCAGTTAGAAAATACTAGGAGATATTGATTAACTATTATAAGGACACGTTTTGAGTTCACTTAGTTGTGAGGAAAACAGAGGTAGGAAAATTGGGTTTGTTCACTGCCTTGTTTATATATAAAAATGGTGGGAAGTAATAACAACAATAAAGGCTGCTGTTATTTTCTATGAAAGAACAATGACAGATTTAACAAAGAAAATGTTCACTTCCACACAATTGAGATCCACTAAAATGATTTCTCCTTTTTAAAAACATGTAAGGGAGGCTTATGATAATATAAGCACCAATTCTTAGAGATAACAATACAATGGTGCCTTGGTATTCATCGTTAATTGGTTCTGGGAAGAGCAATGAGTACAAAAATTGATGAGTACCAAACATATTTTTCCCATAAGGAATAATGTAGTGAAGTAACAAGACAGCTGACATCAACAAGTTCTAGCTTGTGCGTTGAATACCAAATGATGAGTACCAGAACAAAATATTAACTTTAAAATGCATTGGGTACCAAATTTGATGAGTTTCAAAGCAGTAGAGTACCAAGGTACCACTGCATTTCCCAAAAATAAAAAAGATAAAAACCCCACCAAGATAATTTCAATTATCTTTGTTGTCAGGCAGGGTTTTTATCAATTGAGTGAAAACTCTGTTAAAGTCAATGGCAATTGCAGGGGTTCCAGGCCAGGTGAGGAAGTGTCGATTGGAAGAATGAAGGAGGTTTCAGTGTGCTGAGGTCTTTAATGGTTGATACCACTCTTGGGAAACAAGATTCCATTGGAAAAAAACAATCCCCCCAATACTAGGGGTCCAAGTGTATATGAAAATTTTACCAGGAAAGAAAGAATCTGTGTCTCGCCCTTGATAAAGTTGTGAATTAGTCTTTACCTGCAATATTTCTTAAAGTCATATAATTACCAAGTGCCTAAATTTCATAGAATCATGAGGTTGGAAGGACCTTGCAGGTCTTCTAGTCCAACTGTTCAGACTGGCTAAATGCAGAGATGACTCTTCTAGAAACGAAGTTCTTTTTTTGCTGAAGGCTTAAATAATGGCTGTAACTGTGACTTGTTAAATGAAGGCAGATAATCCTTAAATGACTTTGGAATATAGGTTATTGTCCTGTTTAAAGGCTGGAAAGCCATTTATGACTATCATACTTTCTTTCAAATTTACCATAATAATTCTAACAGGCCTGATTTAGTATCAAATTCTTTTCTTTTCTTTTACATTTAATAAATAGAAAAAAATACTTCTACAGATTGCAAACACGAAGTCATGGACAGTTCTGAATAGAGTTCAATCATCTTGGGCTAATGATATCTTTGAACTCAACATTCTTCTATACCTTCAAATTGCTTATTCAAAATAAAGTTCCAATTAGTTTTTTTTTAAAAATACATATTTAAAACTAGTTCTGCAACTCAGCATTGTACACCATGAGCATTTAGAGAAAAAAATAGGGGTGAAAAATTTAAAATACATGATGTCCAGTACTCTACCACTGTAAGTTTCAACAGCAGGATCTGGGTCTGGAAGAAGATGATATATCTCTGTGTACAAAAATGTGTTATCATGTTATTGACACATACAAATTTAATGCATTTGTCTTAAAGGTAATAATTAAGTTAATTCCACAACTTTAAAAAGATGTGGAAATAATATGAGCAGTACTGACACATTTCAACTCACTAAATTATTTTTGGCATTTAATTCAATTTGAAAATCTAAGTATCAATTTACATTGCAGCGAGGAGAATCACAAATTTATTTATTTATTTATTTATTTCATTTATACCCCGCCCTTCTCCCGGAGGACTCAGGGCGGCTTACAGCCAGTTTAAAACAATCCCACATAAATTATTTTTAATAACAAATTATTTGGAATAATAACGAAAGTTAACAAGTAGTATTGCCTATGTATAAAGATAAAACTTACTCATACTTACCAAGTTTTGGCACAGAGTAGTGCATTGCATAAACATGATTGTGTGACAAATACTAAACGTTTCAGAGGATAATATTCTTTTGAATTATATACCTAGTACATGGAATTTGACAATTGGAGAACATAAATGGATTCTCTGTGCCCTTATTATGGCTAAAAGAGTGATATTGCAGCAGCAGAAACACATAGCTCCATTTATTCAATGGATTGAATTGCCAGTTATAAGCGGATTGCCTGTACACTCAGACTTCATACAGACAAGTATAATGAAATACAGGACTTATTTATATACTGTAAAATACAGTAGGTTAAAAAAATATAGCCATATAGATGCATTAGAAATATATACATGCTTGAATAATATTTGCATTAGACAAGTATATATAGAACTGTAGTTGTTTATTGTTATGAGATATATTTGTTGTATTTCTTTCACTTAAGTTAAAGCACTTTTTATGTGTTATTTCCTTCTCTTTTTCAATGTATTCACCATCACAACTATATTTGTGTTTTGTTTTCTTTTGTTATTAATTAAAAAGCAATATAAATAAGTAAATAAATAAGATGGAACTTATTTGCCCTTACTAGTCTGCTTGTATTTTATATCTATGGCTGCTATCAAAGAAATTTAAACTGAATAAGTTTATTCCACAAACTTACTTCAGCGAGTGTCAGGTAAAAAATAAGAATGACGATTTCACAAATTATCTTCTATTTTAACAAAAGAATCTGCCCTCAAATTATTTCTGATGATGCCACACCCTAAGATGTGCAACATTTGAGCATACTATTGCAAAAAATATTTGCCCCACTAAGGGAGTATTAGTAGCATACATCAAGTTTCTTCCATGATTAAATCCTCTTTTAAGCCTTAGATGTGTTTAAAGTTAGCTGCATGTTCTCCTTTTTTTTTTCATTAGCTGACTCTGATTTCCCAGCACAAATTCAGACCAATAGATATGTTTCAAAGCCAGCTACCTGCAGAAAGGAGGAGGGATAAACTGCACTGGCTTGGCAAATGTTTTTCACTGGTGATAAATAAATGTAAGTAGCAGAAATTCTTAATTAGATTAACTGTAATGGTATACCATTAAAAGTTTGAAAACTGTCTTAAAGAGAGAACTTCGATGCAAGCTTGATTCTAGGACAATCATGCTTACTCACTGGCTTTGAAGGGACTTGCCTGCTATCATTCCATGAGCAGTTGAAGAAGGGGTTTCTGACAGCAGAAAGGGCTAAGATTCCATATTTTGCTATAAATCAATTTCATTTAACACATTGTGCTTAAAAAATATTATTTGCCTAGTCTTATTCAATAAATCTTCTTTGGCTTTCAACTCATTCAAGAAGTTGCTTCATTGCTTCTAAATTCTAGAATCTGTTACCTATAATTTACTGTGAGGTGTAATACAGTATCAAAGAGCTACCAGAAACTATTCTGTGATGCTATGATGTCACTGGAAGAATGGAGCTGAGACGTTTTGATGTGTTTGGATTTTACGTGTGGAAGAGAATGGGAAGCCTCTCTCTACAAAACAGGCTGATTTGACCCAAAAGTGCTTTTCCAAAACTGAACTGAACTGAAGAAGCTTCTTGGATGAGAAGCGAAACGTGTTCAAAGAAAAACCAAGAAAATCCAGTTGCCTTTGGGAAAAAGAACCTTTGGGACAACCATGACCTGGATGATTGAGAATTTCCATACACAGGCTGATTTGAGTTTCAGGGTAGGAAAAGAAGCAGAAGGCTTTTCAAGATAAACTGTTCCTATTGCTTCCTTTAAAATGATGTAAGTCAGCCATTTTGCTACTGTATTTCAGCAACACAATTTTAGGACGATGATGGACTGCAAATGGGCTGATGGAAGCCACAGGCAAAGCACTGTGGATGCTCAGCCTTATTCTAGAGTGGTGTAAGTTTTCGGATACTTCTGCTATCAAGCTCAAATGAAAGTCCTAAAGAAATGAAAACTGATTTATAAATAACCACAGCGGATTAACTGAAAGGATGCTTAAACTACACCACATCACGCTCAGTAGCATGTAATAAGATTTTAAATATGCCTATGCATGCACAAAAACTTTCTCTTCAAGTTACCACAGCTAAAACTTTGTCACATGCTGCTCCATGATTTCATAAACATTTTAAAGTAGCAGTTGGTGTATTCTGAATAGGTAGTGTGGCCTTAAAAACATTAATGCAAATGTTATCCCTGTAGTTCTTCAAAGTCTACCCAGAATGTTGATAATTAAAGCAAGCTTTATAATCATCATATGGCACAAGAGCAGAATTTTGCAAGTATACTTGTTTCCTTTTATAGTATCTGTCACACGAAAATTACATGTCTTGATGCAGACTCCAATGGCTACCAGTAGCTGTTATGAAACTGCGTAATTGGGCAAGCCACATACAATGTTATTATGGAGAACACTGCAACACAAAATTAGGTCACTGCAGTTTAGGTTCAACCTGAATGAACGGTAACTGTTAGGACTGTAAAGCAACTCCACAATCCAGAATACTTTAATCTTTTTTCAAGTCCTCAAGTATTGTAGTGAAAAAACATACTTGGCTTTTGAACTATATTTTCTTTAAAGCTAGTATATGTATATGTGTATGTGTATGTGTTTGTGTATGTGCCCTAATGCCTTTGTGTTTAATTTGACTTGTTAATATTTTGCATGAGAACAAGCATCGACTTTAATAAGCCACATGACCAAATGAAAATGGAAAGTGCTGAAAAATGAAATTATTAGAGGTAAGATGAAAAGTATCTCATACCTGATGGAGAGTTATGGGCTGAAGACAGAGATTTGGATTTGGAATCTGATAGGCGAGAAATGCTGTTAGCTCTAATTCTAGGAGAAACTTTAGTACTGTCTGCTGGTGGTGTTAGTCTAATGCCACTTCTAGTTATAGCTTCTGAAGTACGAGATGTAGAGCTTCTAGTTACTGTTGCTTCAGAGTCACTTCGTGCCGATAAAGAACCAAGTCTATTTCTCCGTGGCTGGGCAAGCAGGTCAATTCTTGAAACATTTCTCCTTCCTGATGGGGGCTTAGATGTAGAACTTGTAGTAGACACCTCAGAAGCCACTGATGCTTTATCTGCATCTGCAAGTTCACTATCTGACACTTCACCAAGCCGTGCTCTTCGTAACAGTGAAGTCCTTGTAGGGCGAGGCCTTGGAAGAGTGGTTGACTTACTGACTTGAACAGTTGATGGTGAAGAAGACTTCAACTTAGCTAATTTAATTCCTTCCGTTTTGGAATGCAAATGTTCATCTGCTGAGGTAAAAGGAGTCCTTCCGTGTGATTTGCCAGAACATGTTTCCTGGTCAGAAGATAAGATATCAGATATAGCAGAATGAGGCACACTAGAAGTTTGATCATCATCTGTTAAATCTACTGAAGGCTGCCTTATTCTTCCACTACTCTGTGCAATCTTGCGTGCATCACCCCTTGAACTAGCTTCTGAGGAGCGGCCTTTTGTTTTCTTCTCCATTTTGTCACTGGCATTTGAACAAGATGACTTTAAAATATCCTTTGAGGGAGAACTAGTTGAACATCGATCTTTATAGAGAGTAGTAAAGCTTTTACGTTTCTGAGTAGTTTTTCTTTCACTGTCTCCGGTAACTAAACTAATTGTACTAGCAGTATCCACATCTGATTCAGGTGAAATGGAATTATCTCTATTGTAGCTGGGAGTGTCAGGTCCTTCATCTGTTTTATTTTCTTCACGCAGCTTTGCCTCAAGAAAAGCCATTACAGCTTCTGTATCTTTTAAAATAAGTGTTGTATCTAGACCAGGATCTATTTCCACTGAATCACTTTTCTCACTTGTTCTGTTGGTGGATGTTAAAGAAATTGATGGAGTAGTTCCTTGTTTATTAATATGAGGTATTAATTCTATGGGTATATTTGCACTTGGTTTATCTATAGTAAAGCTGCCTTGTCTTACTAATGGCTTTGATGTTTCCTTTTTATCTCCACTAAGTCCTTTAATTGTTTGCAATTTGGCTTCCTCGGCTTTCCTTCTTTTCCCTTCACTTTGTGACAATTTAACTTCTGTTTTACCTGCACCATGCCCTGATGCCTTTTCTTTCATATCCAATTTATGGGAAACAGAAGATTCGTCTCTCCCTTTTTCAACCTGGCTTGCAGTTCTTGCAGAAGATAATTTAGCTGGGATCCAATGTGTCAGCTCATTTTGAATTTTAGTTAAAGATTGCTTTACCATAGATATTTCTTTGCCATTTTCATTTTTCTCTTTTTCAGAAGCAAGGCAACTACTGGAGTGAAAAACTGTCTTATCTGCTTTAGGAGAAAGGCCATTTATTGTCCGGCTCACTTTAGTCAGGCTTTTATCGGTGGCATGTCCTATTTCTTTTTGAGAATGAGTTGGAGTTTCTTTCTCTTGAAGTTCTGTGTCCTGTTTTTCACCTATCTCTGATCTGTGATGGGCTGTAACTTTTGTTTTTTGTCCTTCGATAATAGCAGTTTCCTCCTTTGGCAACTGAGGGAGTGTCCGCCTCTTTCGATCTAGGCTGGTTAAAGAGGTAATTGAGCCAGAACTTCTAACTGATAGGCCAGACCCACCGATGTCAGTGTCTAAAGTCAAATAAAATGGAAACAAAACTTAATCAGGAATTCTAAAATTTAATATATGTGACAAAACAGACAAAATTAAAGCCTCTTTTCTTGTCACACATACCTTTCAGATTTAAAAATTGAAATGTCATGCAATTTATAAAATAGAGTATAAAATATAATTATATTTCCATAAGAGTTGTGGAAAAGTGAATCACTGAGAAGAATGAAATATATTCATCAAACCCAAAATATGACTAAATGAGATAATTGATTGATATAGTATAAAAAGAGCTGCAGGGATTAGATATGGTACCATTTTCTAGATGAATAAGTACAGATGACTCCATCCGTTCTTCATTTTCTTCATGTTTTGTATGATTAGCAGCCAGACTAGCCCACTGCGACACCCAGCGCTTGCTTCCAGATATGCCAGTGCTTTCCTAATATGGGATTTTAAAGAAGATCAGTTACACACCCAGTAAAACCAGATAATCTATTCAGAAATTTACTATGGTAAATATTTACAGGATCAGGTCTTATTCATTTTAAAGTAGGAAGCTGAAAAGTTTGAAGAAAATTAAGATATAAAACAAGTTATAATGGCTTAAAAATTCACACTGTAAGAGTATTTTTATAACCTTACCCAAGAAGCTTAGAGTAACTCAAAGTGGGAAGTTTGCTGAGAATGAGGCAGAGCACAAATGCAGCAAATAAATGCATAAATAAAATCATAGATCAGCATAAGTCTAATACAGTGTTTTAAAACCAGTGTATTTTTTTAAAGAATATTCTTTCTATCTTCTGCTTTCAATTTCCATTGACAGAATAGTTCTTTTCAATGAGTTTTCTGGAATGTTAGATGAGCCACTATTTAAAGAAGGCGTGCCCGACCCACAGTTCATGGACAGCTAGTAATGCAGCCCCACAAGATAAATCGGTTATTTATATACATTATATTATATAATTTATATGTGGCCCAAGACAATTTCTCTTCACTCAATGCGACCAGGCAAGCCAAAAGCTTGACATACCTGGTTTAAACAGTGACTGCAAGCCAGGATTGCAAACAAGATTCAATAATAGTTTGAAACTAGGAAAGTGACAACATTATAATAGCAGTCACTTAGTATTTTACTGCTAATCAGCTTAATCACCGAAGAAGAAATCTAGATGACTAGTTCTGTGTGACCTATTTTTAAGTAATGGCAAAGTACCAATATAAATTGTCATACTTATTACGTAAGATATTGTTGTACATTCCAATATGCACCATTAACACAGAATATAAATCTGTTATACTTCCCTATGGAGTTTTAAAAGTGTTGACCAAACCTTTGTATTTTATCAAGAAAGAAACAGCCAGACAATGCAAATGCTTTAAGAACAAGGGTAATATGATCTCTTTGTACTCTTCCTGACTTTAACCTGACTGCTGAGTATCAATTTAAGTTTTCAGACCACAGCATTTTTGTATTGTTAAGGCCAGAGGTTTCAATTGCATCCACCTGAGTATTAAAGTCCCTTTCTGAAAGGGAAGCAAATATTTAATATTCCTTTCAAATGTTTAAATAGCTGCCCATCACACAAAAAATGATTCTGGGCACTAACAAAAAGAAAATCAGAAACTACAAAATAAAAATATATAAAATGGCTTGGCCCTTCTGGGAAGGGAAGGGCCAAGCCAGCCCCTCATGATATGAAGCATCTGATAAGTTTTGTGAGTATACACATGCAGAAAATTGCTTCTTTAACTTTCAAAGGGCGGTATACTCTGCCTAGCTACATCCAAGTTGGCTTTTCCTCCAGCTACATTCTATTCACCCATCTGGCTACTTTAGCTATCATAGCTCACTTGTGTAGTCTGATGCCATCTTGGTCTTTGTTATACCAACCAAATATGTTTCTCATCTATAAGCAAATTGTGAGGATCTTTATTATTTTAGACTGACCTGATATTATAGAGTCACAAAATCAGTTTTTAACAAGATTAAGGTAACTCTGTAGGCCTGATAAATGGGCATCAAATGATAATTACATTTCCCATTATGTTTATATTTCCATCAAATTAATCTCCCTTTTTCTATAATGATTTGCCAATACCAAATCTTTTACTCCCCATCGCTACTGACTGCTATTGCAGACCTTGCTCACATTAATGGAATACTTAAAATACATACACATACTGTTAAGCAAAGCTTAAATCCTTCCCCCAGCTGATTTTGATACTCATGAAGAGTATCAGTCTTGCATCACCTCCCAAACGAACACCATGAAAAGAGGGGTGCCCTCATCACAAGAGTCAGCCAATGGGTAATTACCAAGCATTTCCTAGAAAGAACCACAGAATGATGTGAGTTGATAGGCAATGAATCTTCCACTTTTGGGACAAGCAGCCCAACTGGTGAAGCAGCAGGAAGTGGATGCAAAGTCTTAGAATAATTTGTCTCATCCGTTTCTCTGATCTTTTCTGTTGCACTTCTTGCTTTCTTTTTGTAGAATAAATTGTCCCGGCAGGTATAAAATTCAAGGGTTTTATTGCGTTTTGAAGGATCTCATCAATCTTTATTATATCAGGTAATGACACAGATAGAGTGCTACCATTTGAATGTTTTTCTTTGAGTCAGTACACCAAAAGGTAACAAAATAACAGTGCTGGAAGGGACCTTGGAGGTCTTCTAGTCCAGGGCTTTTTAATCTTTTCACAGATTGTACCACTTTTAGGACATGACAATATTCAAGTACGACCAGTGCTTAGCAAGGTGTCAAAAACTTGATGACTAAAAAAAAGGGGGGAGAATTTTGGATTTTACTGATTAGTTTGATTTGTTGTTATAGAAATAGCTAGTTTATACTATTATAGAAAAGTAAAACAGTTGAGGTTCGATGTTAATGCTTCGTTCTACTGCAACAGAACAAGTCTAAAGTCAATGCCTTTTCTTTACTTTTCTCCCTTCTACCCCTCACTGTTCTTTCCCTTTTTCCTCCCACTGTGTCCTACTATTTGCTTTTGTATTTTTGTATTTTATTTTATAATCTAATAAAATGTTACAAACCATAAAAAAATAGGAAAAAAGTACCAGTTTTACTCCTCCTTTTATATCCTCTCTTCTCTCCCCCTCCTCCTTTTCTATTCTCTCTCCCCCCCTTTTATATACTGTCCTCTCTCCCACCCTCCTCCTCTTTTTCTCTTCTGAGTGCGCTGGAAGCGCTGATCAGCTGGAGCTGCGTGCGCCAATACTGGGTTCTCAGCAAAGCGCTGATAATACTGCAGCACCAGCTGAATCTCTGCCCGAAGACTGCGTGCAGCTGCCGGCCACTCCCAAGGCCACCGGAAATGCTGATCAGCTGGAGCTGCATGTGCCAATCCTGGGCTCTCAGCAGAGCCCCAGAAACCCCGCAGCTCCAGCTGACTCTCCCCCAGGCCTCCATGGCACTGCCACCACTTCAGCTCATCCACTTTTACACTTTTTTTACACTTTTTTTACAGTGCTTTTCAACCCGTCATATGCATACCACCTGTCAGGTGTCGAAGTACCACCAGTGGTACATGTATCACGGGTTGAAAAACCCTGTTCCAGTCCAACAATCTGCTCAAGCAGGAAACCTTATACCATTTCAGACAAATGGTTGTCCAATCTCTTCTTAAAAACCTCCAGCGTTGGAGCACCCACAACATCTGGGGGGCAAGTCATTCCACTGATTAATTGTTCTAACTATGAGGAAACTTTTCCTTGGTTCTAAGGTTGGTTCTCTCCTTGATTAGTTTCCATCCATTGCTTCTTGTCCAGCCTTCAGATGCTTTGGTCACAGTCAAAGAGCCAAATTTCAGAAAAGCCAGAGAGATGTGAAATCAAGTACCTAATGTTACCTGGATAACAGTGACAGCAAGAATACACAGCTCTGTGGTGATCCAGAGTTAGGGTGGTGATAAGGTTTATAAAGTTAAGGTGGTGGTAAGGTTTATGTTATAGCACCTGTTAGCAACTCCTTAAAGGAATACCATCTTTCCCTGGATCCACATGATTGCTATGGTCCACTCCCAGAAAAACAGTCAATGGATTTTTAAGGAGGTGTCAACAGTCGTATATGCATACAGAGGTATGCTCTGAATCATATTTTCCCTTTTGAATCTGGTATCTGCAGAATATGAACTCTATTAAGAGATAATAAAGATTTGTTTTTGTTCTACTCCGTACAGCAAGCCCCTTCCTTGTACTGATCATGCCAGAACATGGAATATTTTACAGTTAATAGGTATTCAGGGACAGCTGATTATTCTTCTGAGAAATGTTTATAATGAACAAAAAGCTACCACATGAACTACCTGGAGAAACTAGATTCTTCAGGAATGCCATATTGCAAATATGGAATAGATACAAACCCAGGCTATACCCCAATATACTTTTATGGGCAATAAGTATTTTATAGAAAAAAAAAAGAATGGGCAAAGAAAAATGGTTAATATATAAAGATTTGTTAGTATCAAAAAAAATAGAGCTGAAAATGAAATCAGGAGCAATTGACTGCACGGAGGTTTAGTTTTCAATGCACAATGAAGAGAAATATCTAAAAAGGCACCACAAATAGAATATGATAAAACAGAATTTTAAGATGAATTATGTATACATGATGAACACGTGATTGCTAAAATGTATAAACCTTTGTTTAAATTTGAAAGAAAAATTCGACTTATACTGAATGTTATTCAAATGATCAGACTGGCACAAACCATGAAGGCCTGAAAATTTATTTTCTTAATTTTGATAAAGCCTTTCAGTTTGACCTTCTATTTTTTTTAAAAAAATAATTTTTCTCTGAAGTAATATCACCAAATTGAGTGAAAATATTCTATGTCAAACAATGAAAGAATGGTCAATTAAGATATGAATGTAAAATTATTCTCAGTTCCTATGACCATTTAATCAATTCTTTTCTTACTTTATTGTTCTCAAGACAAAATAAAAATAAAGGGGGAAAATTAAACTAAATTACAAAAACAGAATAAAAGTGTACATTCCAACCAATTTCTTTGAAAAGCTAATGTTAAGTAAATGTTAATGCTGCTTTTGCTGCATTCCTAAAATATTCATGGAAAAAGATACTGAAAGTCATTAATTTATTGTTACTTACACCATATGTCAGTTTCAGAAATGAAGAGTTTTATCTCCTGAAAAGCTTAGAACCCATGATTCCACACATGATATCCTTTTTATTCATTTCCAGATTTGTTTGGGGGTCTATGAATCTTACAGCTGGACTTTTGTTGATGACATTCATATTAAAGGACATATGGAATATGTATATATGGGTTGCTATGGATATTTTATGAAGTCACTGACTTCAGATTCTAAAGGATATTAATATTCTTTCAATACTCACTAATAAAAGCTCAAAATACTTTCTGCAGTATTTATAACAATGATAGGTTTAACTAATAATTCAGTAAAACACATTATTTCTAATGGTCAAATGAAAAAGTATGGACAGATGCACAGGCTTCTAGCCCTTCTGGGTTACAAAAATAAATTATGAAAAGTGGGAAAACTGATATAATTGATAATATGTTTTTAATACATTAAAAATCTGATAATAAAAATTAATACTTAAATTGAAAGTAAACACACAAATCATTATAAGTTTGTTGCAAAGCTCAACTCACATTTGAGGGAAACTCTTCTTGAATAGAAGTAAGAATGTAGATAAATGCAGTTTGCATCTGCTGTATTCATGTCAGGGTTAAGCAAATTATACTATTCACAACCAATTGCTAGCTTACTAACATGGCAATTTGATATTTGTCATAAAAACTGCCCATTTTAATGCTATTTAAACAGCCAATAGATTTTTTTAGACAAACATGTAAACCTAGTCACATTCCAGATTTCATCATTCTCTAAAACTCAAACTAGACCAAATATAATCCACAGAATCTGAGGTCTATAGAAAATGTGCTTTTCTTTTAGAATTTACTTATGATAGTTTAGAAGCCCAAGCTACGATAATTGCTTCCATTTCAAAAATTTCCATTCCCAATTATGAATGTGAGGGATATTTACTATAATAGTAGCATTAACCCTGAAGAATGATTTGAGAAAACAGCAGTGATTGGCTAGCTTACATACATAAAACTGCTTTAAGAATAGCCTAGACTTCTAGTTTGGAAAGGTTGATAGGAATTTTCCCACATGAGAATCAACTTATAAGGCAATGTTAGGATGGAATATATAACATCTCTGAATAACAATGAATTAATGAAAACCACCACCATTTCCCATGCTTCCTTTAATGAAGTCTTATTATCAATTTAAGCTACTTTAAATCAGTATCTATTACTGAATTTTATCTATACAATATCTTTTTAAACAAGAGGATAAAATAGATTACAAGAGAGTTAACCATAAAATCTATCACATAGAAATATTGAATATGAAGATTAAGAGCATCAAGATTAGATTCTGGAAGATAAAGATGAGGTTGAAGTTTGAATAAGAAAGGAAATATAAGCAAAGTAAAAACTAGAGTGCAAAAGAACATATAAATACCAGTATAAGAGAATGTTTGAGAATAACTCATAAGTGTTATTCATTTATAATGTTAGTTATGAAAAATTTAACCGTATATCAAAGATGTTAGTTTCTTTCCATCATCATCCTTTAAAACAGATGAATACTGACATTTGTTGATCTGTGGTTTAGATCTACATATGTGCAGAATTTTGGATGTGAAAAATTATCAACAGGTTTTAGTATAGCGTTATAGAAAACTGTTTGATTTTGAAATTTCTTCCAAAAGTACGTCACAATTTCCATCTGGAAATAGCAAATTCTTTTCATCTGTGCTTTGTTTCTGCAAATATTTCTTTGACTGGCAAATTTTCCAAATAACTACAGTATAAGCAAACAATAAAAGGAATGGTGATATTTATACAACAAAGATAGTGTTTAGGTTATTTCAGTTTCCTAAAATCTTGTGTGTCAGTGCTATGGTGTATATACAGATAGAATAGCAGCAGAACAAAAGCAAGTGTGAGCATAGTTTTTTAAGTACTAAGAGATTATACACAAGCTCTAATAAAGAATGAAGAAGTGTTACTATTATATAATAATGAAGTATTTAATAGCTCTTACTAGCTACTTAACACTGACTCTAAAAAGGTCCTCTCATTTTATGGAAGAAAAAAGAAGACCCATCAAAATTTGATTTCTACCTCTGTGTCAAGAAATCCAGTTGTACTCAGTAGACTTTTTTCTTCAAGCACTATTGTAGCAGAATTAATAGCCCAATCTTTTACTAAATCTTTCTGGCTTTCGTTGATAACAGGCCTATTATAATCCTGGCTGTCATCCACTCCAAAAACCTGAAAACAAAACAAATCATCACACATTAACTGAAAGCCTCGTTTGTAGTATTCAATGGGAATGTATGGATACTGCCACTAAGAAAGTGAGTGCTTATAAGGCTGTGTTGTTGTTGTTTTTAAAATACAGTTTCACAGTTAATTGTGATACAAAAATCTTATGAAATTGCTATTGAAAGTAGAACTGATGTATTCTAATTCTGGAGATTCAAAATAATTGTTAATATTTTTTTGAATGAAATCAAAATATGATGTTGGGAGTCTTCCTTTAATACAAGACAACTTTCTTGCCTCTGCTGCAATTTCCAGAATACTTCCCAAATCTAGTGAAATGGATTAGAGAACTCCTGACAATAGGTTTTTTTGGCTTTGTGAAGGGCTTGTTGCAGAAAGATGGAGAAATTGCTTCGAATGACAAAAGCATACTACTGGATTGCATCCATAAATCAGTCTTACCTGAATATATGAATGCTGTAATTTTAAACAAAGAATTACGTCTGAAATGTTTAAGTAATCCCTTCTCATGTACTGAAACTTTTGATTTGTGTGTAATGTATATCATGTACTTACAGTATTATTGTATGGATTAAATGATATATTCTGTTATGAAAGAAATGGATCCATAATTACATAAAAGCTAGATATATTTATGTTCTTGCTCCTTTAACACGTGGGTAAATGTATGTATGCCTGGCATAAATGTATCGAGTCCAAGCAACCCAGTGTGTAAACTTTGCAATAACAATGACAACAGTGATGATTTGTAAAAACAGCAATTAGGGCTATTGCTCCAAAAGATATTATGTGATACTGAAATTATCTGGCAAGAATTAGATCTAAAAAGTATCTTCTTATATACAGGGATTAAAAAGTACCAGATTTTTGAATTTCATGCAAATTTAAATATGTACCAATTAGAGGAAACAAGCATAAGTCTTTAGAAAAACTCTAAATGATATGCAATATTTAAATACTTATTGTAATAGCACCCTTTTCATTGTTTTCTTTTTTTAAAAAAAAAGTCATATATTTATACTCTCTATCACACACTGAATCTGTACTCAGGTTCATAGTACATATTCAGCCATAATGCAATTTGCTTGATTTCTTTTGTTTGTGTGTTTGTTATGTGAACCATCCATTAAAATTTGAAAGTTATGACTTACGGCTTTTACCTTGTATAAAATCCTCTACATAAGGAGATGTCATGCATCTGATGAAATTGTATGTTATCATACATTTATACTATAGTAGTACCACAATGCTCTTTTTATCTGTAATCCCAAGGAAGAACCTAAAATATCTTAAGCATATTAGAATCCAAACAGAAAATCCTTTTTTTAAAACTTAAGTCTGTTTCAGTGGAGATCAGCTTACAAATTCTCCACATTTAATATGTGCAAATTGCATCAACCTATTAAATCCTCTCTATTCTACAGCATGTTTATAAATATTTGCTTTGCCACAGGAGACACTGATGGTTTTCTTAAATGCTGTGCCATAATCCATCACACTGTATTGGTTCCAAACTCTCAAGGGATTCAGATTCAAAGGGAAATATAAACATGATTTGATATAGTATGGGGAGCCAAAAATTAAAATGTTAAAAAAGATATTGGAATACTATTTCTGAGCTTTCTTAAAGTATTAATTTGGATCTCATGCTCAACATTGAAAGTATATAAAAGTCTTGATATTTGCCAATAAAGTGCCATTGCAGTTATATACAATATATGTTTTGGTAACATATGGAAAGAAGATTGATATTTTTCTCCACATTATATAGTGAAGGGAAAAATTATTTGATCACCTCCTGATTTTGTACATATGCCCATTGACAAAGAAATGATCAGTCTATAATTGTAATGGTAGGTTTATTTTAACAGTGAGAGACAGAATAACAATAAAATCCAGAAAAATGCTTTTCAAAAAAGTTATAAATTGATTTGCATTTTAATGTATGAAATAAGTATTTGACCCTTTCACAAAACATGACTTAGTACTTGGTGGCAAAACTGTTGTTGGCAATCACAGAGGTCAGATGTTTCTTGTAGTTGGCCACCAGGTTTGCACACATCTCAGGAGGGATTTTGTCCCACTTCTCTTTGCAGATCCTCTCCAAGTAATTAAGGTTTCGAGACTGACGTTTGGCAGCTCAAACCTTCAGCTCCCTCCACAGATTTTCTATGGGATTAAGGTCTAGAGACTGGCTAGGCCCCTCCAGGACCTTTATGTGCTTCTTCTTGAGCCACTCCTTTGTTGCCTTGGCTGTGTGTTTTGGGTCATTGCCATGCTGGAATACCCATACATGACCCATTTTCAATGCCCTGGCTGAAGGAAGGAGGTTCTCACCCAAGATTTGATGGTACATGGCCCCGTCCATCGTCCCTTTGATGTGGTGAAGTTGTCCTATCCTCTTAGCAGAAAAAATCCCCAAAGCATAATGTTTCCACCTCCATGTTTGATGGATGGATGGCAGCATTCCTCCTCCTCCAAACATGGCGACTTCAGTTGATGCCAAAGAGCTTGATTCTGGAGCAGGGGGCCTTGTGGGCGCTGCAGGATTTCAGTCCTTCATGGCGTAGTGTGTTACCAATTGTTTTCTTGGTGACTATGGTCCCAGCTGCCTTGAGATCATTGATAAGATCCTCCCCTGTAGTTCTGGGCAGATTCCTCACTGTTCTCATGATCATTGAAACTCCACAAGGTGAGATCTTGCATGGAGCCTCAGACCGAGGGAGATTGACAGTTATTTTGTATTTCTTCCATTTGTGAATAATCGCACCAACTGTTATGTGGTCCTTTTGATTATGATGTTCAATCAAGTCTGATTCTTGGTGATTCTATGCACCACTTCTCTCCACATTTTTCCAATCTTGCATGGCTTCTTTTAGTTGTTTGTGCTTTGGCTGGTGTTGGCTTTAATGTCTAGTCACAGTACAGACTAATTTAGTTGCCAAACTGATGTCCTTGCTTTTCCATACTCAATTCATATTCATCATTGCTGTGTGATCCAAGGCAATTCGATGGTTTATTTCTGGACTGCCTTCATTGCTTTGATCAATCTGCGATCCTAAGAAGGAATGCAGTCTTGCATGTATTCAATCTTTTCACTGTCAATTCTAATGAATTCAATCTTTTTACTATCAGTTATTTTAACATTTGCTTGCAATGGTCTTGAATGTGGTGTTTTTGATGTTCAAGAAGAGGCCACATTTCTAACTTTCTTCTTTAAAGGTTCTGATCAGATATTTCAGGCTTTCTTTGGTTTCTGAGAGAAGAGTTGTGTTGTCAGCATATGAAAGATCAATCTTTACTCCAATTTTCCAGCTTCCTCGCCATTACTTCAGCATACAGGTTAAATATTTAGTTGATGTTGTTGTTGTTAACACTAATTACTACTACTAATAGAAATTTTGATAATTTCTGATTTGGATCAGAACTTGATGAAAATATGCATTATTTAATAAACTACATAACCATGATTATGTTATGTATAATAAGCATCTTTTTATTGATCAGTAGCAAATACACAACGGAAATATGGAGCTAAAGAAGCATTCTCTTTACATTACTAAATATACGATAATTAATCATATCTGTATAACAGGAATGCACAGTAATAAATATGACTCTGAATAACTGAAATATAATATAAATCTAAATGTAAAGAATATTGCAGCATTAATCTAAACCACGGCATTTAAACTGGGATTGTAAAAATGATTGTTGTCATTAAAGACACATTAATCTTTGTGAGATTCTTGCAAAAGAGAATGAACACTGATAGCTGATTATATAATTTGACAGAACTACAGAAAAGAGACAGCATATATCTATAAAAATGGATGGAATTAAGTCACACAACAATGCTAGAGAAAAATGAATAAAAATAATTATAAACAGTAAAAACAAAATAATATGCAGTACAATAATATATAAAATATGAGTAACATAGCAGTAGAAAATCAAAACATATACTGCAATCTAATTTATAAGATAGGAACCTACACATTGAATCTATTAATATTAAACATGGTATTTATAATAATTCAAGCAGTATCTGTTACTTAGAAACACTAAAAGGGTCAGAGCAGACATCTTCAGCACTGAACATAAGGGAATGTATGTTCAATGATGGTTGCATAGGAGTTCTTTTTATATGTCAGCGAATTTTAACCTTCTGGCTAGGGGTCCCTCAAACAGTAAGCACAGAGAGGAAGTTAGATCAATTAACTGCAACCCTCTGCAACCTCTGCTTACCCATTAACCCTTTTGCAATATTAGGTATGTGGGCAAGTTTAAATCAGCCTTGAGTATGTACAGATTCTTCACCTCTCTCAGTTTTAAGTGTACACACAGAATCAGCTTAGATTCTTTTGTCATCAACCTCACATGGGAAACCGGACTGCAATCACATGCGCTGTACTTTCAAGTGCATATTCCAACTCTGGATCTGTTCAGAGTACAAACAGAGCATTCATATTTGACTGGCGCCTATGTAAGAAGCAACCAATGCAAATAAATCTAAATGAGCTACTCAATACAAAAATTGCCATAACTATTGAGACTGTTAGCCTATGGTTATGTAAAATGAGAATTTAGAAATGTTGTTCTGATACATGTTGGGGTGGGATGGAGGCAGGTTGATGAAACTAATTAAGCAACAACCAATTTCTCAGGAGAGTTGGAACCTGACATGATTTTAACCTATGCACAAGGGATTTGTTTGAAATAGGAAGCTATTCCAGTGGGACCCTTATATTATAAAACACCTTTCAAGTCAGACAACCTAGGAGAACAGCAGTATACTGTAGATAGATAGCTTCACTATTGATGTGGCTATTATTTAAAACCCTCTCATTTTATTCCAGTTTGTGGTTCCTGAGCTCCCTAGATATCCAGGGAAGATTTACCAGATACAGGAATTTTCATTGTTTTTCCACTTTTACAATCTAGTGCTACCTCCCTGTCTTTTCCTGTGACTTTGAATACAGGAAACCTTTTACTAAGTCTTTTCCTTTGTGGTGCTATTGTTTCATCCTTTTTCAAGCTTTATAACAGTGGTTCTCAACCTTCCTAATGCAGCGACCCTTTAATACAGTTCCTCATGTTGTGGTGACCCCCAACCCCCCATCCAGCTGGCCAGGGAGGGGGGAAAGCCGTTCCGCCATCTCCGCCCAGCCTGGTTGGAGAAGCGCCCAGGCAGGGAGAGGGGGAGAGGGGGAGAGAGAGAGAGAGAGAGAGAGAGAGAGAGAGAGAGAGAGAGAGAGAGAGAGAGAGAGAGAGAGAGAGAGAGAGAGAGAGAGAGAGAGAGAGAGAGAGAGAGAGAGAGAGACACAGAGACAGAGAGAAAGAGAGAGAGCGCCAAGAGGAGGGCAAGGAGATAGAGGAGCGGTGTCTCAGTTCCTAAGACCATTGGAAATATGTGTTTTCCAATGGTCTTAGGTGACCCCTGTGAAAGGGTTGTTCGACCCCCAAAGGGGTCCCGACCCACAGGTTGAGAACCACTGCTTTATAATAAGATATCCAATCCCTTCCTCTTCCTCCATTTGTCCAATTGGTCTACTTTGTCCTCCACTCTCTTCCCATTTGTTGAGATCAGCTCTTTTTGTGCATGTACATGCTAGTTTTTTCTTTTCCACTGTGATGCAACTCCTCCTTTCCTCTGCCCAGCCCCCACTCTCCTTCTTTCTTCATCCCCTCAGTTCCTTTAAGGAAATGTTTCAATGGGTCAGGTGGGGGTCCACGTAGCATCTGTGCCCTGCTAATGCCAATAGTTGCATGGCAGACTGCCAATGATGTTAAATACATTCAATGAGTTTGGCTGCCATCTTACTTCATCATTCGAGCCTTTAAATGCTTCCGAGAGTGTGCTCTCAGGGTCGTCCCACCCCCATACACTATAGAACTTAAAGCACTTTCACCAAGTAGAATCCTTAAGCTCGATCAGTTTCCCACTGAAATAATTCTTTCTTGAAAATTCATCTTTATTCTATTAATGCACGACATGGCAGAACAATATATACCAATGACAAAATAGCCACTATTTCTTTCCTGTTTTTGCAAATCCCTCATGTAACTTGTTCTTATCAAATGATACAAGGTAACTTTAAGCCTTTTAAATCTCTCTAATAAATACGGCATAAACAAAATTTGTTTAAAAGACCAGTATCTATCTATTTATTTATATCTATATCTGTATCAGTACCTGTGTTCATACTTACACAGAGAGGGGGAGGGGAGGGAGCGAAAAAAAGAGAGGGGAGAGAGGGAGGAGAGGTAGAGGGAGGAAAGATTTCGCCCGGACCCTCTGCTCTCCATCCCAAATTATGTAATTCCCATTCTGACTTTGGTTCTCTCTTCATAGAACACTAGACTGAGAGCATGCAATACTCCTAAGAAAATACCAAGCTGGCTATTTGAAAGGACTACACCAGGGGTAAACAACCTTGGCTCTTTGATGACTCGTGGACTTCAACTCCCAGAATTCCTGAGCCAGCTGTGCTGGCTCAGGAATTCTGGGAGTTGAAGTCCACGAGTCATCAAAGAGCCAAGGTTGCCTACTCCTGGACTACACCATATTCCACAAAGCAAGTGATAAACTGACAAAAGTAACCCAGAACTGCAGGATTTCACTGCTACTGCACTGAATTTATTTTTCTAATCTGAGGAGAAAAAAGAAATATTGTACTTGCGTGTGTCTCTCATTCTTGGTACTAAAGCCAACAGAGAATAAGAGCAAAACCGAGCTTCAAAGGAGACTACTTTCTTTCTTGTTCAAGTCTTATTTCTATCCTAGGTCATCCAGATGCAGACTGATTTACACACAGAATTGAGACAATTTACTATATTTAAACTTTAAGGCTTGTACATAAATGCACATATTAAGAAATGCAAACATGGAAGAATTCACCAGAGGTAGTAAAGATTAATAATTAAAAACAGTGACTCACACTGTTATGAGAATGATCTATGTTTCAGGTAATGAATGGTTAAAGAATACTTGCTTCCTCATTTTGACCTATATATTAAATACTCTCTTTATTGAATATATATACTTTTCAATTGCTGCATTCCTGAGAATGGTATTTAGAATTGTAGTACAACCCCCTCCCCTCATTCCATATACGACATTGTAAATATCAGCTCCTTTGAAGTATTACATACTAGATCTGTAAAGTAAGTTGTAGCCTAATAGGATCTGTACAACTGCTGTAATGCCCACTCAGATGGGGATTTTATTTCTAAGGATAGTTACCAGGAAATTATGATATAAGCATTTTAGGCATTTAAAAACAACACGAACTATTCTGGTTGTCATAGTATTTATATTTTTTCATTTTCTTGGTTATGAATAACATTTTCTACCACTATATTAAAAACTAAATAAAATAAATATTTTTTTAATTTTATATCATTTATGGACTCTTTTTCTACAAAATGAAAAATCAGTAGTTATAATAATTAAAAACTAATCAGCTTCTTGAACAATTGTTTTTTTCAAATACTATGATTTTAAACTCAAGAAATTATCTCAAGCTCTGAACAAAAATAGAACCCAGATGGGATGAGTAATATGAAAACAACCAAAGTCATTCATAGCTCTTCCTTGTTTTCCAATTTAATGAATTTCAAAAAGCTGTTACTATTAAAACAAAGAAAGAAGCTTGAGTGAAAACTGAAGTTATAATCCAAGTATTAGAAAGCAGAGTTCTATGCTGACTTATAGGAGACCAAAAATACATCATTTAAAACAATTTAAAGTCTCTAACGCAGATTACCTAAGAGCAGTTTTCCACCCAGCTACCCACAGGACTCTCCCTGCCAAGAATAGGGAGAAAGATGAACTGCTATGTTCCCTCTTATCTCCTTTAATCAATAGGAACTATGGCTGATTTTCAATTCTCTCAATGAAAAAGCAGTCTTCTGTTTGTAGAAATCATATTCTGATTCCAAACCATGAGATCTGCATTAAATTCTTGATTATACTTAATAAAGGGAAATATCCACCTTCTTACAATAAATAAAATAAAATGCATTTGAGTTAAAATCTGATACTTGATGTGTTGTAACACGGTTACAATCAATGTTAACAGTGTGGCAATCACTTATTTATCTATTATTATTTATAATAGATCATTCACAGCATGGATATTTGCTTCCACATAATCTGACAACTATTGCTACAATGAGCAAAAACTTTCCAGTATATGATTTTAGTATTTTCAGTATGAAGAAGGAAAAACAACAAAAAAGCCAAACAGAAATCTTTCACATTTCATTCCTAAATGTATACATATACATATATATATATACATATACATTCTCTGATGCTAAAAAGCTTTTGCATGAATAGAGGATTTCATTATGCTTCTATGTTATTGCTAAATATTTTAGTTTTTATAAAAATATATCTTGATCAGGCAATAGATGTACCAAAATTAGTAGTTTGAAGCAGTATATTCAACAAACTGTAGCATCCTATTTACGGCATCCCAAATACTGTATTTTCAACCTATGTATACTTAGAGAACCAGTTTGCTGTAGTAGTTAAAGCACCAGGTTACAAACTGGGAGACTGTGAGTTCTAGTCCTGCTTTAGGCACAAAGCCAGTTGTGTATGTTGGATCAATGCCTCTCTCTCAGCCCTAGAAAAGAGGCAACGGAGAACCACTTCCAAAAAATCTTGCCAAGAAAATTGCAGAGACTTGTCCAGATAATTGCCAGGAGTCAACACTGACCCAAATGCACTGCCCCCACTCCCGCCTAAAAACACACACACCATAAAATAATTTTTAAAGTTGGCACAAAAATGTGTTTGCTAACATGATAAAAATATTATTGCTGATGTGTTGCTAGTGACTCTTATTTTTTAAATTATAATTATTCTAAATTGATAACTACTGTATATAGCATATTTAGAAAGTATTTTAACTTATTTTTCTGAGCTCAGCTTACATATTTCTGAAAATGGTTTAACTTACAAGGAGTGCAAAAGTAAGCAACATAGAGAAGTCTTGATTTATACTGGCATTTAACAATAACAGTTGTTTAAAAATATTTAATTATAAACTCAACATAAGGTAACTTACAAATCAGGCAATATTACCTTATTTCATTTCATTTGCTATGGAGGAAATTAAAAAAAAACTTGAGGACATAAATTCATATCGGTTCTGGAAAACAGATTTTAAAAAACAAGGCAGATATATGGCACTATTAATGCAGTACATTAGGATTAAGCAAAACTGGAACTGTGTACTAGCAACAGCTTTGGGAAAACACTCCACATAGTAACAGTTTTGCTATGTGAGTAATATCTTTCTGAAGAAGTATATCACAACACCTTTAGTCCAATCATCATTATTATATTTATTATCCTATCAACTCCACTACAGATAATAGTTTTTTTTAAAATAGCAAGTATTTATAAGGCTTACCTTATCAATCATCTTGCGTGCTTCCATCTCCTCTGCATTTGGATTTTCCAGTTCAATAGTGTAAGTACCTTTATCACTTTGGTCATCATCATCCTTTTCAAGATTCACTGAAACAAGCTGAGTTTTTAGCTTCTTCTCCATGTCCTCGTTTGGACTTGGTCTGTGCCCAAGGCTTCCTGAACTTCTTAACAATGTACTTTGTAAGAAAGGTAGTGCAGCAGAAGGCTCTTCTGATTTTTGCTTGAGAAGTTTTGCATGCACCACCCTGTGCTGGGTGGAGTTGTTCTGGGCCAATGATGGTGGAGGTTTCGCTTTTTCAGTTCTTGCAAGGGATGCTGGAGAAGGTGTTTCAGGGCACAAACCTCCTATATTTTGAGAAAAAGAATACGATCTCCTCTTCCGAGGATGGCCTTCATCAAAGAACTCAATCATAAAGGCAGTCTGACTTAAAACAGGTTGATCTGAATGTTTCTCTACATTCAGAGCTTTCGAATGTAATTTTTTCTGTTCAGTATAGTGATGCTTTAAGTGATCTTCAAGTGTAGCACGTTTACTGTAAAGCTTGTGTGCCCCAACATTTTCTGAATCACTCTGTGTTCCATCATCATGTTTATTTCCTGCAAAGACAAAGAAAAGAAATATCTAGCTCTCTGTATTCAGCATAATTTAAAAAGAACATTCCTAAGTTAATACAAATACAGTATTTGGTTCTCTGTTAGCTCAACGGTTCGTTAGTTAACAAGTCTTCAGGCTTCCCATAGCAACAACAAACTCATTCAGACTTGCTATACAATAACGGAGTCATTTGCCAGCTCACCACCAAGCGTTTGAATTGCCTTATTCAAAAGACAGTCAGTTCTTAACCAATCATGCTCTGATGAAATCTGAACACTATATTACAACTATACCAAAATGAGGGCACAAGAGATAATTTTCAATCAATATATATTGACCCCTTGTTAAAAATAACTCATGAACTAGGAAAGAAAACTTAGTTCTAAATGTTCATGAAAAGTAGAAAGCAAAAAGAAATAACCACTCTATAACTTTTACACTTGTTAATTGTTATCTGCAGAAAACTTAATCACTTAGGTCTCCAAAATACATTCCTTCATTTGCATTAATAGTGATAAAACTTAAGATTTTTTTTTTCTCTAATTAAATAGTTCTTGTGAAAATTTAGTGTAGAAACAGAGTTAAATAAGCTAATATTAATTTTTATATACCCATTTTAAAATGCTGTTTAGAATCACGTGGAAAAAATTCTGAATAAACATAAAATATCTACCTGAATAAGTATAAAGCAAGTATATAATATGGAAGTCTTTACAATAAAAGAAATGCCACAATGATCAACAAGAGTTTCCCCTACATAAATTAAGGTTTCTCCATAAAGTTGTTTGACTGTAAAATGCACTGTTTTCCATCCATAAAACCACAAAAACCAGTTGTGATCTAGATACTGAATAAGTTTATTAAAATCTATTTTTCTTTCTTGATCAGGAAAGACAAGCCCTAAATAACATGCTTTCATCTTCATAACAGTCAGTAATTGTTTCTTGGCCTCTTACATACATATTATCAAGGCTGGAAGTAGTGATAAAACATGGCTAGGGATTGCACACAAGATGTTCAATACTGTACATTACTGCAATGCATTTCACACTCAGCAGTTACAAAACCTGCTGATAACCCATCAATTTTAGGTCAAAGACAACTTTTGAAGAGTACCTCCAAAAATATCTAAAACCATGTCTTTTTTAAAAAACAAAACAAAAACAAAATTCTAGAATGTCCCATTTTCATAGAACTAGCAACTGTTTGTTTGGAACCTGTCCATTGCTCTATATTTATATTTTAACCATTATAATCATTAAATCTGCTTTTAGCTGGAAACTTTTAGTTTGTTTCTTTTCATTATGAATACAAAAATATCACAAATCCTATTTTCACTTGAACTCTATTATAAAGCATTATTGGAAAATTATATCAGTTTATATATACAGGTTTTAAAGGAAATGTTTATTTTGTAACTGTAATAATGTTTCAGTTCACATCACAAGCATTGACAAGCACAATGCACAATGTTTTGATCCTGGTACAATTTGTTGTTCATCAAAGTGCTTTGATTAAAAAGTTTTGACCTGAAAGAATCCTAACAAAGTGTAGTAATTGTAGACATTCCTAGCAAGTATACTTACATTATGTGTTCAAGGCAAAAGAAGTAAAGCTGAAATTATTTATTTTACCTTTCAGTCTCTTCAAGTAGACTGGAACGTCACTCTTAATACTTTTTGAATCTTCTTCTGATGCTTCCCACATTATTGTTGGGGGGTTGTTTTGTGCTAACCAGTTTGCCACTTTACTTTCCGGTGCCATCATCACAGTTTGAAGCCCAGAGAGATCCTGAGCACCAGAAGGAGACTTCTTAGGCTTGGGACGCTGATCTGGAGTGAATTTTGTGACATGATCTTTGATGGTTACTTTTCCTGGGGTGCTGTTATCAAATTCAATAGTAAAGGAAGCATGCCCTGCCCCTGCTATGTGTGTATCTTTTGTTGGGATCTCATGAATAGTACCCTCAGGTGTTTGTGAATGTTGCTGGGCTTCCTTTGTAGGGATTTCAAAATAACTTGGTTCCCTACAAAATGGATAAGGTTCTTCTCCCGTTGCAGCTGCAGATTGCTCCTCAGCTTGCTTGCCATCTGTGCTGCCTCCTATTAAGAAAAATAAAGAAATTGAATTCTCCAGTATTGGGCAACCCCAAGTCTTCAAGGAATTTCAGAATCAGTAAGAAAGCCATTCTTGAAAAAGAAATATAAGTTTGTGCAGAAAGAATGAAAAACAGTTTCAGAAGTGCAATTTTTCCTCCACCTTGTTGGTATTTTAATTCTGGAGACGTGCATTAAAAACCAGCATGAAAGTTCATGAGGAATGCCAGAGAAAATTTGGAATCTGTTAGATTTATTGATGTCAAATGTGAAGTCATTTAGTGAAGTCATGGGTGATATCAAAGAGATGATTTTTTAAAGAAAGTTAAAAGAAACTCCATGGGCCATTATTGAAATCTAAGTGTAGACTTAGCTTTAATGCAGATTTAAACTTTATTTTAAAAATATTCCTGGGAAAATCAAGTAAATACAGGAAACTGCAAAGATTTTAGAATTTTTTTGAAAATCCAATTTTTAAACCACAGAAGGGAAACGAAGATCAATTTAAAGTGAAATTTACTATAGCAGCAAAAAAACCACGACAAATGTGGAACTGTAAATTTCTTATTTTCTGATGAGCAAAGAATGTAGTAGAAGAAAGACAATGTACATTTTGAATAAATGTTAAAGCTTTTGTGAAACATTATGCAATTAGCATAATAAGCTTGACAACCAAGTGTAAAGAATGGGAATAGAACCACAAGCAACTGCTGCTGAAAACAATATTGGATAGTAGGTTGAAACTGCTGAATTAAGAAACATAATTTCCTTTAAGATGTTTATAAAAAACAAAAAGAAAAAATTAAAATATTAATAACATTTTTAGGAATCTTTCAATATGCTTATACTATAGATGAAATAATGGTCCCGTATCATGCAGAATTCATTTTAAAAATGCTTAACAAAGCAAGCAGTAAGCAGATTCCATGATGATGTTCAGAAATAATCACATTTAATTTAAACAGAAAGGTTCTCTAGAATGGCAACAGGAAAAGGCTCTGCATCTATTTTTATAGTTGAAAAATAAATGACAACAGCAATGAATTAGAAACAGCATACAGTATTCTAGGATCACCAATCTAAAAGAAGCACTGCAGCAGTTTTACAGTAATGATAAAAAGTTAAACTTTTATCTAATTTTGAAAGATTATATCACATCCAATTGAAACACACAGCTTTATGCATAATGTGTTAAGATTTGAGACAGAAGAAAAATGCTCTGGAATGTGCAACTTTAGAGTAGCCACAGGAATGCACAATTTATTGTTTTCTGGGAAAGAGACAAATTCAAATCAATTAAAAGAAAATTTCAGTAAGTTAATCGATAGAAAAATGTGTTTTATTTTGGGGAAGAGAGAATATGCATTTATAAAATATTCATTTAATTAAGCAACAAATCTAGTGTGTTTATCTATGTGTATAGACAAGAATGTCTTTATATCTTTATAACATTTTGTTATAGACCAAAAGGTTCACCTGGATAAGCAGAACCTTGAGTTGTTATTGTTCACGTAGCTGTTACCAAAATTTTTTTTTATGCTACAGCTCCTCATGCAGAATCCTGTTTTCTACAGCCCATGTAGAATATCTACTTCAGTATCTTTGGATCAAAGACAGTGGATTATGTTCAACTAGGTGTGATTATTAAGGGACTAGTATCCATCAGCTAAACATTTTTTCTTCTTGCAATGTATTCAGCAAATGTGTTCCAAATGGCTGGAGGAACTTCTAGAGGAAAGCCGAGCTTTCTAAAAGTATGGAGGAGGAGAAATGGAGAGTAGAGTAAATCTTGCTGAGTGAATTGAAGTCTTCCAGAACAACACTGAATATAAAGATTTTAAAGTATCATACTGTCCGGACTGATCTCCCAATATGCTTCTTATAAAATCTCTCATTTTTTTTCTTTTTCTTAAAGTGAAAGCTATTACTGGAAGGTTGTTACATCCCTTTACTTCTGTAATAAATACTGTGGCATGCAAAAAGTTAAGGACTTCTCTGCCAAGATATTGTATAAGAGGTCAGTTGCTTGGTTAACACACAATGCAGAGCCATCCATATAGCAAATGAATTGTATATGCGTGAGAATAACTAACTGCACACATGAATCCAAAATCAGAAACCAGGACTCTGGAAATGAGAACAGCAAGCTTTTGTTTGAAATGGAAGAAAGCACAACACAGCACGAGGCAATAAACGCCTAGGACAGACATGGAGCAGCATTGGTTAATAACAAAGTAGGAGTGGCAGGTGTAAAGAGCAAACTGGGTAAGGAAAGTCAGGGATGGCTGATAGCAAAGACTGTGGAAGACCAAAAACTGAAACATAGCGATTCCTGATGCACACTGTGACCGGATGGGATTTTGGACTTAGACATATTAAACCATTGTTTATGTAAAAGAAAAGGATTCTATGTAGCAGGAATGATGAAACAGAAATTTTATGATATTCATTAGTACAACAGATTGTTTCTATGTAGAGAGGCGTAGTTGTCCATACAAAGTAATGATGGCAGTGAATAATTTCTTCAATGGCCAAGTTATTTCCTACTAACTTTGTAACAGTCTTATAAATTTTATCCCGTGAAACTCTCTCCCCCCCCAACCTATCTCACAGGGTTGTTGTTCTTGGGAAAACAGGAGGAAAGAGTATTAGGTATGTTGTGGTGTAACCAGCTGGCACAGAACATGAGCACATGAAAAATTTTGGGCACCTCAAAGTGGCACGTGTAACACTGCCACTTTGCTTCCAAGGTATTGGTTAGGATCTTTAAAGCCCTACATGGCATGGGGACCAAGAACCTGTGGAACTGTCTTCTCCCCATTATAGCAGTCTGTCCCACCCAATCAAGCAGAGAAAGTATGCTACAGACACTACCAGTTAAAGAATTTTGACTGGTGGGGTCCAGGAAGAGAGCCTTCTCTGCCATCACACCTGCCCTTTGGAATATCATACCACCCAGAGGTAAGGCACCCCCCATTCCCCTGGCCTTTTAGAAGAGTTTGAAGTCCTGGTTCTGCCAACTCATATGAGGCTCATAGAGGAGCATGCAACATTGGGGTTGGTTAGTGTTTTGAAGCACCCCCTTTTTGAATCTTAATTGTCCTGTCCTTGTTTTAATTGCCTTTTATTGAAATATATTTGTAGGGTTTTAATATTTTTAATTGTACACCACCAAGGCTGTTTCTAAATTTGGCAAACAAACAAATGTTTGCTGCATAGTTTATAAAAATAATAAAGGTAGGATAAAAAAAAATCAAAATAAATAAATCTTAAAATGAAGCTAGAAAGGTTGGTTTTATTAATTAAAACTGTTCCAAAATGTAAGATTTACAATGTTTTTAAAGCAAAATTCTTCAACATGTCAATAATAATTTCAAGTCTATGAACTGATCCAGGCTTAGCTGCAGAGTTATTTCAGTAACCAGAAGCTTTGAGAAATGCTAATGGAAAACTACTTATTAGTTAAGCTTGGTTGGCTCATTCCCTCTGAGAAATTTTGGTTTATTATTTCCATTCAAAAAAAGTTCAGAAGAGAAACCTGCAGCAAGTCTTAAAGTAGTGTTGTAGCTAACTAGCCCTGTCCTTTTCTAAGATATTTCAAGGTATTTTCCCTCTTGCTTGCTTTGTTGTTATTTTTTTCCCTTCCCATCCACAAGAGGCAGTTGGCATTCTAGAATCACCAAGTGTTTCCAGTCCTCATTGCTCTGTCTTTGCCCAGTTGTCAAAAGTTCAGTTGTCTTTTGAAATAGCACCTTTGGGACAACCATGACCCTATGGATGACTGAGAATCTCCACAGACCTTTCCCTTACAGTATTTTTGTAGATTGTTTTTTCTTGAATCTGCGTACATCTTTCCTATGCTTGTGAATGGAACAAATTTTGTTACGTAAGGATTGGCACTCGGAGGAGAAGAGATATACACACACAAAGACACAAATGTATACAAAATGACGAGACACATTTGCTGGGGATGCTCAATTGGGGGTAAGTATCCTCAAATACTTATACTGAAGTTATATAATAGCAAATTCACATATAAAGGTAAAACATCAGGACAATTGCTTTGTGCCCGTTTTCAAACACCACAGAAGCACATTTATAAATATTAAAACAAAAGAACTCAAAATCTTTTTTGAGTCTGGAAAAAATTACTAGCTTGGAATCTGTAGCATCTACAAAAACCAGTGACAAGATGAAATACTGATTTAAACATCAAATATCTGTGCAAGTACCCAGACAGTTAAATGGCAGAATTGTAGTAAAATCCGGAACATCTTTAGTCATTATGAAATGTTGTGATCTCCCACACTTTTCAAAGGGTTTACTATCAAAGCAATTGAACCTTTAGAAAAGGCAAACTGCATTTATAATTGATGTCCTATAGATTTTCGTCTAGCTCTAATTTTATTTCAAAGCTTGACATTACTTATTGGGTTATATCCAATGATAGTATTTCTGACTGCTAGGACCAGATTTTTACAGATCTCCCATGCCTGCCTAAATACTTATAATGATGTATTACTGAGAATTGGGGGATCTGTGATAATAGACTAAAAGTGCAAAGGGCAGCTGCAGAAATGACAAAAATGAAGCAGAAGGAGAAGAAACAAATGAGGCACATATACAGTGTTTTGCAGTTTTCACGCAGTGTCAACTTGCTTCTATATATTTTTTTGAAAACTGAGTTATTTTAGTTCTGCAAATCTCTGCTTAAGAATATTCTATGCAATCACTGTAAGCCCAATAAGTTAAATAACAGTTAAATAAAACCAGTTTAAAATTTGTGAAGAAGGATGTGGCAGGAACAGAATTAATTTACCTTCCATAGGCTATTTCAAAATTATTTTCCAGATCTAAAGGGCAAAATTTAATTTACGCAACCTTATTCAATTTCACCAGTATTCTTTTTGAACTGTAGGGAAGGCCTGAGTCAACACATTTATGATGAACTTGAATGATGAAATCCACTAGAACTCTAAGTGTTCAGAACAGAGCACATGGGAAATCCTGATTATGAAGTGCCTATTTAACTGCCAACAGTAAATGAAAGCTTAAGCCTATTAATAGGCTGAAGATAAATTTATTGCCCTATTGTTTTGTTTTCATTTTTGCAAGAGCATTAAATAGTAAATGCCTGAACAATTCAATGGGGATTAAAAAGGGAGATACAGGTAGTCCTCAATTTCCAACAGTTCCTTTAATGATCATTCAAAGTTACAATGAAACTGAAAAAAGTAACTTATGAGCATTATTCACACTTACGACCACTGCAGCATCCTCAGGGTCACCTGATCAAAATTCAGATGTTCGGTAACTAATTCATATTTATGACCATGGCAGTGTCTAGAGATATCATCACCTTTTGAGACCTTCTGACAAGCAATGGGGAAGCCAAATTCACTTCACAACCATGTTAGTAACTTAACAACTGCAGTGATCCACTTAACAACTGTGGCAAGAAAGGTTGTAAAATGGGGCAAAGCTCACAACAAATGACTCACTTAACAGCATAAATTTTGGGCTCAATGATAGTCGTAAGTCTAGGACTACCTATAGTTTAAAAGTGAAAATAAACAAAGGCTTAATTATATATTCCCAATATTATCAACAAACTCTTCATGAATATTTATAGTATGTTCTATAATACAATAAAAATATTATTCTACCAAAAACATTATTCTTCTGCATTTGATCAGAGAGTGTCAACTGTGCCTCCTCACTAGTACTTTTCCATCAAAGCTTTCAATTATGGCAGGGGGGGAAGCACTAAAATAATCTGATTATCTTAAGGCTATTAAAGCTAATTACATCTAGTTGGCTTAGCAGCAAGTAATCTAGCATTTCAATCTTCTCATTAAATCATGCCATTCCATATCCTTTCTCTTCTAGTCAAATGAATTGCCATTTTAAAAACTGAAAAGTGGAGGGTAATATGGATTAATCTGGTATAGCTATTAAGCTTATTTTAAGTTGCTTTAAAAACAATATAAAAATTGATTTATTATTGAAGCCAATTACTTATTTCATTCAATTCTGATACTGCCTAATTCCAAGACAGTTAGATATACTGAAATGCTACCTGAGATTTTAATAAATATCCCTCCCAAAAAACCTGTCACTCACCCAGCATTTATATACTGTACATATGAAAAAGATAATACTGATTTTAAAAAGTCTAAGGCAATTGTGCAGAAGCATTTACAGAGATTCCTGCTCATTTCCATTAATGGATCCCTTCTGCACAATCCATAGATATATTTCATACACACTATACAGGTGGGGTGATCATAGTGCACACTGTATTTGTCACTGGTTCACACTGAAATAAATTCAGTATGGAATCCACTGTTTTCACTGTGCTTTGCTTGATGTTTCATTCAGTCATTTATTCTATATTCAAGAACTCTGCCATGGTCCATCACCTCAAGTTTGGCTACTTGGGTGTATATACTGTTAGACTCTTTTTAGCTAATACAACAATAATTTCATCCTTGCTTTCACAGAACTTCTTTTGCTATGTTGATGCCCATCAACTACTTAACAATAGCACTAACACGTAGATCAGTGGTGAACCTATGGCACGGGTGCCAGAGGTGGCACTTGGAGCCCTCTCTGTGGGCACACGTGCTGTTGCCCCAGCTTCGCCTCCCCCCGCGACCCCCTCCTCTCCAGCAGCCACCCTGAAGGAGAGTCACCCGAGCATGGCCCACACGGAGCAGCGCAGCCAAGGGCATGGCAGCCAGGCACCATAGACAAGACTCTGCCCTCACACCCCATCGTGCACAGTTGATGCTGCAGGGTGCGGGCAGAGGGCGTGACCGCCATAGCGCTGCTGGGCTGCCTGGGCGACCTGCGGCGGGGCCTGGAGGCGGTGAGTGGCCCTGCGGGCAGGTGGGGTGGGGGATGGGGGGGCAAAGTGGGGGCGGGGCAGAGCTAGTTTTGGGGCACTCAGTCTCTAAAAGGTTCGCCATCACTGACGTAGACTTATATACCACTTCACAGTGTTTTACAGCCCTCTCTAAATGGTTTACAGAGGCAGCATATTGCCCCCAACAATCTGGCTCCTCATTTTACCGACCTTGGATCAAACTCCTGGCAATTGGCAGAATCAGTGTACAAAACTGCATTCTAACCGCTGTGCCACCATGGCTCTATACGAGCTCTTCATACTCCCATTTTGATTTATTGCCCTAAATAATTTGTTGTATTGAGTAAATTTGGTCACTTCATTACTTGCAGATAATTTAGAAGTGAAATAAGGCAGGGAAAGCAGGAAAAGCAGGATTTCTAGAGTTCCTCTCAACCACTTAATTGCAGCTCTACGTAGGGTCATATGTTCAAGGAAGAAGCAAGAAAGAACATTCTGAGGCACCGCACAATTGCCTCTATGTTCAAATGCACTGAGAGAATTTCCCAGCCCATTCACATATTTTTTTCAACATTTCATTAGGTAGGAAAGAATAAAAATGATTTTCAATACAGTCAAATTGTTTTAAAAAATTCTCCATTGGAAATATACTGTAGTCTGTGCATTCCTGTTCTCAGACTCCTTTCTAGTAATGAGATCATTCCCTCTTCTAAATCTATTTAAGAATTTTTGATGCAAGCCTGTATATTTTTAAATATTGTTATAGTACAAATTTATGCATCAAGATAAGGTTCAAGATTGCTACAGAGACAATTGCTTTTCATAATTTTCAGATACTTTGAAAATTCTTTGAAACTCAATACTGTATAGACACATCATTAAATAAACTGGTAGGATCAATTATTCTAATTCAATGCAAAAGTAGATTATTTTGGTCTTAATTTGTGATGTGTTCCCAAGAGTAGTTTGGTGGCATAATAGAAATGGTTTCCCACTATCTTCTTTCAAAACATTCAGTCAATTTGGTGAACAGTTCCGCAAGTCCAAAGCGAGCCCCCGTCTACTAACCACGTCAACCATGGTTAGCTTCCAAAATACTCAAGGTGATCAAGATCAGGGATTCTCAACCTGTGGGCCGTGGCCTACTGGCCACCAGGCCACGTGAGTGGCTGATCGGTCTGTGCGCATGTGTATAGCCCCACTCATGTGAGCATCGCCATGAGCGTCGTCATGGCCCCTCTCGCTCGAGCACTGCAGGTGCTCGCGGCCCTGCTCATGTGAACAATGGGTGTTCATGTGTGCACACACGGGCATGCACACATTTACCCCTCCCACAAAACTATCCCTCCCCATCCCTCTGCTCCGGGCCACCAATCCCGAAAGGTTGGGGAACTCTGATCTAGATGTAGGCAATCCTAAATCTTCAGGGTTTCTACCTTTTTTATTTTTTCTGATTCAATAGCTAGGTTGATCAAAGTTATTTAATAAACATTTAAATCAATTATGTGCAGCTCTATATAGAGATTGCTAAAGTAGCTCTCAATTTTTCAGATTATCAAAAATAGATCTATTTTGTTAAATGTAATAGAATTTGAGAATATTCATGGAAAATTATATTCAACAACTTCTGGAATTTGTATTTATTTCTGAAATGCATAGAATACCTCAATCCAATATCTAAAGTGTTAAATGAAAAAATAATAATATATTGCCCTTTTAGTCGAAATAATAATATGCCTCAAAAACCTTTGGTTCAGTCTACCAAGCTACCAGGTTTTAATACAAAAGACGGGTAAATTATTAAATAAATAGGTAATAGTAAACTATTTTGGTTAATTTTAATAAATTAATTATTTTATTTTATTAATTATATTATTTTAAATTTTACTTAAATCAAATTTAGCTCTGCTAGTCATTTACACTTTTGTCTAGCAATATGACCTGAACACTAGATGTAATCCTTGTTCTAAAAAGGATTACATATCCCAAATAGATGTAACAAAATTTTGAAAAGTCAGTTGATTTGTTATATTTTTATAATCAGTGCTCTCTTTTAGCACTGATGATGTTACCTAAGTGGATTACAAAATGTCTGTAAGAAAGTAACCAAGTTCAGAGAGAATCAAGGTCTTCATATTTAATAATTCTTCACCCATTATGAGGTTATAAACAGGTATCTTTTTCCCATAATCCATCCTTTATCTGTAAGCATATTGATAAAAACATGGAACTAAATATTTTAATGCTCATTTTGCCAAACCATTCTTGATCTAAAATATATGGCCTGCTGGAGCTAGCCAGCTCCACTTAGAACCAGTTTCATAGAAACACTGCAAATAGTCAGAACCATTTTAACTGGATTGCAATTGGGCTGTTCTACTTGAACAGCAACTTGCCATAGAGATAGAGAAAAGCCTTAAGACATCAAAACACCAGCCTTTATGCTTCTGTAACCTCTCCTTTGATATCAGTCCTGATATTGCTTTCTAGTGTATTCTGCAAACCTTCTAAGTGCTCCTCTTTGAAGCTGTTTTCATGCTTCAACATTTATGCTGGATTCCTCTGAAAAGAGCTTGATCCATCAAGCTGTAAATTGGAGCCAAAACATTGCTTCAGCCCCTTTTTCTTTTGCTTCTCTCTCACTTAACCCTCACTGAAGTCTTCTCTTACTTTCCCCAACTTGCAGACTGAGCTGCCTCTTGTTGTCTAAGTTGTGGATCTTCTTCCTGTGTTCCAAAGTCATTCCTGCATGCTATCAGAATAATATAGACATTAATAATCTACAATATATTGACTTTTTCTTCTCTCCTCTGAACCAGCATTGTTCTAATATACAAGAATTTTCATGTTAAACTGACTGTAGATACTGATCTGTTAAATTATTAACTTAGAAGGAAGCATAGTATACAATATGTACAAACCTTATCACTTGTGAAAAGGACCTGGGGAAAAGTTACAGGAGGATTTACCTTCTGGATAATCTCACCTAAAACTACTATTTCTTGTGCTTTCTCTTCAGGTTTAACACCTTGTCTACAGCCATTCTGCTCTTCAGTCTCATCATCACCCCACCAAGATGGCTGCCCATATAATGGTGTACCACGAGGCAGTCCAGAAAGATCTAAATAAACAGAAAAACATTTTTCTATGAAACAACCAATGTAACAATATGGTACAAATAGTTCTGTCACAAGCGCAAATGTATTTTAAATTCTCTGATTCTTTCACTCGGGTGTCTTTAAGACTTTGTGTAATCTAAAGTTTGCTATACAAATTGCATCTTTGCTTATACTGTAACTGCTGACAATGCAATTTAAATAATTTGCTTTGAGTTTCAAGTGAACTTTAAATCCCTTTTTCCCTTTTTTACACTGTTAATATTGCAACTTGCTGGATGTTACAGGATGAAATATTTGCTCTGGGACAAAAGTTTATTGGCATTAAAAATGTAAACATATAGAAGGTAATGAAATAGACAGCAATAATTTATACCAATTCACAGAATCTAATCAACCAGAGAAGGATACTATGGTATTTTAGAAAAATGGTTTATTTGCATATATGGAATGAGAGTATTTTTGCTACCATATTTTTCTCCAGTATGAGAAAAACTTCTGACAATCTTTACCATGGGTGGAAGAAAGTAATTATTGTGCCCCCAGCAAGTGTCTTCAGAAGTGTCTGGAGATGATCTTCAGGAAGGGAAAGTAAAAATAGGGAAGGAGAAATCTTTGAATTTAATGGGGATTCATGTTTAATTAACATTCCTTCCCCTGAACAATCTAACAAATAAAGGTTTCACTGTAGAAATTAAACAGGATGCTGAATCAGACTGGTAAGTAGAACAACCAATATAGAATAGGTATTAAATATTACAATCACTTAATTTCAAGACGAATTGGAATAAAATTGAATAAATTCAATGTTCTGAACTATGGTGGACAAAACATTCCGAACTTAACTCTCTTGAATCCAAAAAATAAATTGGCTGACAGTATTACAAATTATTTTTCATACATAGTTAACTCTTGAATGCCTTGACTTATGGCCACAGTTGGGATTCTTTGTTAAATACTGCAGTCATTAAGCAAGTCATCATGCAACCAGACCCGATCTTATGTCCATTTTTACCACAGTTGTTAAGAGAATCACATTAAATGAATATAGTTTTATATTGTTTTTGTACTATATTGTTTTTAGTTTTTTTATATTGTTTTTTAATTGTTGTGAGCTACCTACTCCTGCATTTGTGATGGGCAAATATATAAATAGAAATAATGAATTAAATAAATATTCAGCATACTTTAAAGATTATAGTACTTATTTAATTCCCTCACCTGCTGATTTTTCTTCTGACTTGAGAGCATCAATCACTTTGTGATGAATTTCAGCAGTGCTGTCTTGTACTCTTGGTTCTGCAGTTTTGCCAATGCTTAGTTTTGCCCCGTCTACCTCTGAGGATTTCTGAGATAATTGTAGCTGACTAGTAAACTTCTCATGCTGAAGAGCATACAAAATCAATCAGACAAAGCAAGAAATTATTAGGGCCTATAAAAATATGTTGTTTAATACACTATAACAAAATTGATTAATATCTGATTCAAATTCTAATGCATAAGTTCATTTGTCAAATGATTCATTTTAAATAAACATACTTAACTATAAATGTTCATGTGTTCATCAAAAGTTACAAAGCAGGGGTGTCAAACTCCGGCCCATGGGCCGGACGCATCATCCGGAAGCTGCGCCCACCCCATTGCCGACAATGGCAAGACCGTCCCGATACGTTGCGTGACGTCACAAGTTTGACATGTCTGTTGCAAAGTGACACTTCCATTTGGGAGCCATATTTAAAACTATTACAATTTAAGCAATTCAATCCAAGCTTCAGTGGGGAGGTAACATCCATTTAACCTTTGCTCCATTCAAAGCAACTGCAGTAGCAGCACATACAAAAGAGGGCTATAACTTAATGGATTCAATCTTTAACTACAACACAATGCAAGAGACAAAGTACCTATACATTTAGGGATTTGGGTTTTTTTTACCTTAAGTGCTTCTTCAGGCACTCTCAGCTCTCCTCTGACTACAGTGAAAAGATTGGTATGTAGGACACGCTAAGGAAACAAATGACACTTGTCCAGCTATTTCAGAAATTTCAAATTATTTTTAAACTCAACAAATCACCATAATTGTTTATAGCTTCAATATATAAGCAACATGGGCAGGCTTTATATACATATAAACCCTTCAGTATAAAACAGGTTAAAAAGGTGTGGGAAGGGAGGACAAAAATGACAATCACTACTATATGCTAATGAGCTTGATGGGAAAGATGCATATTCCTTGGCATTCTGGGGAAAAGATAATTTACAAGGGACAAAATATGGCATTGTCCAAGGGTAGGTAAAAGGACAGGAATTTTCCAGACACAAACATACACTGTTCTTCTCCAAATTACAATATTGCTTATTGTTACTGTACTTTTCAAATAAAATATTACATTGATCTCTTTATATACACTGGCCTTAGCGTTCTCTCTCTCTCTCTCTCTCTCTCTCTCTCTCTCTCTCTCTCTCTCTCTCTCTCTCGTACTAGTCACATTTTGACATGCTAAAAACAATTTATATTTTTAAACCTAAAATTAATGCTGCTGCTAGTAGTATCATGGCTTAAGGTTCAATAGTTTGGAAAATTATGAAAATTAATTAGCAATCTAACTTAAAATCATGGCTTCCCATGTAAAGCAAATTGTATCATATGCTATAATTAGTCAATTTGGACATAATGCCAAAACATTTAGCTGAAATATAAGCTACATGTGTGCTTAAAATGTTTTTGATATAATATATATGGAGGAATTTGATGGAAATATAAGTATTTAATCTAATGTAAGAACAGCAACAAGAATTATTTGAATTAACTCATTAGTTTACTCAAAATATCTAGTTTGTTTCAATTAATTTGAGCAAGTGAAAAATTACCAGCTTCTCCATTTTCAGTATTGAAACAAATTACTAGATAACTCCTACTTTGTAGCATTTTTACTTTCTGAAAAGCAGAGAAGCAAAGCTATGTAAGTAAGGTTTTAAAAAAATAAATATTTCTGATATCTTTTTTATTATTATTTCTTTCTACAATGATAAAATTGAATTTGAGAATCCACAAACTTTATTTTGTACTTCTCTATTGTCATTTTATCAACAAGTATTCAGAACAAGTTATAAAATTAAAATGAAACAAAATCTTAGGTATGATTAAAATATTTTTTTCTATTGTTATGTTATTGTTATGTTAAGGATATCATATCCAAATCTCAGCTTATCATCAAGCTTTAGAATGATGTATGTCTGTTCTGGAATCCGCACATCATTCACGAAAGTCTGGAGAAAAAAGAAAACGAGAATGTTGTTGCTGGGATAAAATTGGAAAAAAAAGAAAAACACATAACCAATGGTGAGTTTCAAGAGAAAGGTAGAGTATAAATATATTTTTGATGTTTTCCTTATTTTGGTTACAAAGTCATAGCACAGCATATGATTATCCATTTATTTATACAACTGTTTAATTAAAAAAACAAGAAAAATGTATAAAAATATACATACTAGTGCAATACATACTCATCACACTACTTCATCTTAGGATAAGCAATATTATGCAAAGAATGGGAAAAAAATTAATGAATACCTCTCCCATTTAAATATGAGATAGGAATACAAAAAGAAAATATACTTAAATTTTATTGACACCAACATCATTTACTATGCCTCTCTATACTTGCAAACAGTTTTTGCTTTTATCAAATTCATGCATCACTTCATAATTATGTTTAATGATTGCAATACATCTCAGTATATCTCAGAATCAGCACATTTGAAGGAAAATCAATTATTTTCTGTAATAAATACCTCACTTTATTCATATTTATTTACAATATTTAAAGGAATACCAGTGAATATTCTACCAGCATGAGCTTCATAAGAAACCATAAATGTTTAAGCCATAGAACTTCGTTATTAAATCAGAAATGTCATGAACACTTTAATTTCAATCTATTATATTCCGGCTCATGCAGTGGGTTAATTATAAGATGTTTTTCTTTGTTAAACATGCACTCTAGCTTTTCGCTGAATATATTTTAAAACTGTTATTACTGAGTGGCAGAAGAAGCTTTCACTGAAAGCTCCACTATGAAGCAAAGAGTGAGGCATGTAATTCGTTAGTGAAGGCCTCATTTTACATTATACGATTCTACATTATCTTCTCACACCGCAGGGCTTCCATTTATTCTCCATCTCATTTACCCACCCCAATTTGGCTTCGTAATGGATGCTGGGGTTGGGAGAAGAGAGGGAAATTTCATTCTAAGTGATTTTGTAATGGAGCTCAAAGTTTAACTTGATGGGTGTGTACAGTATTAATGTGTACCAAAACATATTAATATTTTCTGGTATTTGACTGTAGCCTCAGTTTTCAAGTTATTTTTAAGTGTAATCTGTTAGTAATTAGTACAGGCTACCAATTTTAGTTTCATGCATGTCTGTGAAACTTCATCTTCAAAACATACTCTCAAATTCCCCTAAAATAGCCTCAAAACCTGGAAATCACCCCACTATGCTAATTCTCAGAATGTAACAAAAAAACAAACAACATGTTTGATTACACCAACATGGCAATTTGTTTTGTTTTGTTTTGTGCATTCATGTCAATGTTCTCCTGGCAACTGCCTGGATTAGTCCCTGGACTTTTCTTGGAAAAGGTTTTCAGAAAAGGTTTTCCCTTGCTGAGAGAGAGTGACTGGCCCAAGGTCACCTAGTTGACTCTGCCTAAGGCAGGACTAGAACTCATATTCTCCTCGTTTCTAGCCTTCACCACTACACTAAAGTGGCTCTGACATAACACATATACAGCTAAAAATAGTTGTTTTGAACCATCTAGGCTGAATAAAAACAAAATAAACTTACCCCATTTAGACTGCCTAAATCTTTCACCAAGTGTTCATCAGCAGAGGCATCATAATTGATAACAGCATGTTGCTTATCCACACTACGTGACTGAAATATTTAGAAGACACAACTTCTATATTAATGTATACATCTGAAGGAGCAAAAATTAATAATTGTAATCATTACAGAAAAAGTAGATAGTTCAAACTGAATTACTATATAGCTACAAAATACACAATGCTATCATTGTGAAGAGCTGTTAAAGTGCAAGAAGCCTGGAATCAACGTTAAAATGAAGTACAAATGGAATCGTTCAAATAACACTACATGTTCAACTGCTTTAGCATTTGAGAATTTTGTATAATGCAAGGAGCTATTGGGTGACTATCAGAAACTCCAGTAAAAGTGAATGACTAGACTGGATGGGAGAGTAATACAGCTAACTGCAATCTCTCTTTCTTTTATCTTTGTATTTTCTATAGACACCTAGAGTTATTCAAGTTATTCAAGAAAATTGCTAGAGGATAGCACTCTTTAATAGTGATCACTAGAGGTTTACAATGAAAAAACTAACAAGAGCTCCCTTCTGTTCTCCAAACTTTGTCGCTAGAGAAAAATAATATAAATAAATTTATTATGTCATCATAACTAAAAGCTAGAAATAATAAATTCTGTGAAGCAGAGAACAGTGCATATACAGTCTTTGCATTGCAGATGACTAATTCCAAACAGAAATGTAAGAATTCACTTGGTCACGGGTGTCAAACTTGCCACGTCACGTGATGTGGTGTGACGTATCGTGACTTTTTTGCATTGTCGGAGCTGGGATGGGCGTGGCCTCCATATGATGCAACCGGCCCATGGGCCGGCACTTTGACACCCCTGCACTAGGTGCAACAAGAGTAATAAACTTTTTTTAAAAAAATGGCTTCAGATTCATTAATGTAACATGCTAAAGTAGCAGCAGTTATACATATACAATCTTTGAGAAAATTTACATTTTCATAAAAAAGAAATTGAATACATATGAAAAAAAAACTTTCATATGAAAGAAATTACCTTTCTTACCTTCCCTGTATGCTGTATACATGTTATAAGCAATAAAAAATAAAGTAAATTTTAAAAGTCCTAACATTATACTTTTTGGATTGTTATAGGCTTACAAATCCCAATTATTTGGGATCAACAAAACAAGAACCCTTATTTGGATGTCACAATTAATCAGGGATAAGCAATCAAGAGTCTTCTAAATTTTTTGAGATAAAACTTCCACATTACTCTTTTGTAATGATGATGGCTTGGATTGATGTGAATTGAATTCCAAAACATCAGACTGTTTACCCCTATGATCGTTTCTCATTAGTTTTGTCCACTCACATACAGTTGTATTTCACAGTCGTGCACATGCACAGATTGTACATTCAAAAACTCATAATTCCCATTTGTAACATTCTCTATTACATTGATACTGTTTATAGATAGAGGCTAGTAAATACCAAATGATTTGAAAAATGGACTTTATTTGCAATAGCTGAGAAAAGATCATTTACCATTAAACTGTTTAGCTCTAGGACAGGGGTCCCCAACATTTCTGGGTTGGCAGCCCGATGGGAAAGGGAAGGGCAGGCTTGCGCACACACGCAAATGTGGCTGCGCATGCGTGTGTGAAAGGGACCACAAGCATGCAAATAGGGATGCTAGCGCCGGTGTGAGGGATCGTGGCGAGGCTAACGCCGGTGCGAGAGCCACAGTGAGGCTAGTACTGACGTGACACTCATGCAGCCCAGTGGCCAAGAGGCCATGGCCCATAGGATGGGGACCTCTGCTCTAGGTAATTAATTGAAGAGACCTCTCTTAAAAGGTCTACCATCTCTTCATTTTTGAGATGCACTTATCAGTGCACTTGGTGAATGAGTGCAAAATAAATATATGGAAGTAACGACTACCTCTCAATAATTTATACAAAAAAAATAATGTTCCTATTACACAATTCTAAAATAGCAAACTGTATAAATTTAAAACTACTTTATTCATGACAAGAGTTGAAAAACAAAGAAAATATTCTGAGCACAATGCTTGGCACAATCTTAGCCACAGCTCATATCAGGACACATTCCCCATCTCAAAATTTGTTAATACTTTCAGATCTCTTCAAATTTCTTTTCTTTCTCTTTTATCTGTTTAATCCATTTATCAATGTCCACTTTTCTTGATGTTCTCTCCTCTTTTCTGCCCCATCTCCTTCCATTATAACATATCGTTTCATATAAATCTGGATCTCACCAGTAACTTATACGCTTGTGATCTTGGGTCATAGCTCATCAATGCCAATTTTGTAGAAACTAATTTACTGTTGTATTGTTAGTAATGACAATGGCCCCAAATAGGATAAAAATATATACAATGGACTACAAAAAACCCTTGGATATCTGATCAAAATATAACATGGAGAAATAACTGCTGAACTATAAAGGACAAACAGTTCATGAGTTATTAAACTTGCTTATTACCTCTTACAGACATAGCTGGCTAGCCTGTACAATCTTTTGTAAGATTACCAGACCATGCATGCAAATCAAATATTATGTTACTAGATTATAAAATTTACTAGCCCAAGTTTAAGCTTTCCAATCTAAATTGACCACTAGCATTTTATAGCTAACTTTTTAGAGTAGCATTGTGAGCTTTTGTTCAAAGGTTCTTCCAAGCCACTTATAGCACAATGAACTACTTTCTACAGCATTACAACTTTCTTAATGGTAGCCCTGCAACAAACTTGATTATCTTTGTGGAATCCACCACTATGTAATGATACTTTTTAAAGCATGGCACTTTGTTTATTAATACTGAAAAAATATTTTAGAATTTTATATTTTTTCTAACTTTCTCAATTCTTCTATTTCAGGTATTTATGGGGAAAATGAAATGATGGAGCCACAAGAAATCTTTAAATGTCTGAGCTATAAAATTTGTGCGATTCAAATTATTACTAGAGACTAAATAGCGAAACGTAAACTACTTAACAGTTCAAAATAGACTCTCCAGAAAGCAGTATGTGTTTAGTATATAACATCCAAGCCTCTGACATTTACTGCCTGGAGAAGAGATAAAATTACCTGCAACATCAGCTCACAGTCATCTCGTCCAACAAAAATCATTTCTCGCGGCAGTCTATGACGGGTGCCTCCACTGCTCACCAAAAACCAGGATGTTAAGCTCATTTTCTGCTTAGCTGATAAATCCTCACAAGGCTACGTCATCCTGCAATGAGAAGGGGGAAAATATTTTGGTTAACCTTACATTCTAATTCCTAATGGGAATTTGTTTTTAAATTGTTGGGAATCTTTGCACTTTCCAGTGCCAGAAATTTTTATCAAAGTTTGTTTCATAGAGATTATTTTTCATACAGAAATGTATCACTATGTTTTCTGTATGTCACATATTGTTTTTAGTCACTGCTTCCAATGCACACCCAAAAAATCCCCCTCTTAAAACATGATTGCTTTTATGAATGAAATAATGAATGCTATTTTCCCCTTCATCCAAACTGTAAAAGTGATGCCATCCTAAGAACTTCTTCATATAAAGAATTAATGTTTCAAGAGAAAACAATCAGTCCTGGTGTACAGTTTCAGTGCCTAGAGCAGTGGTTCTCAACCTTTTTAATGCAGTGACCCCCAACCGGTCGTAAGTCGAGGACTAAACCGGTCGTAAGTCGAGGACTACCCAACCGGTTGTAAGTCAAGGACTTTCCCTGCCTGGGAGCGCCGCGCATGCGTGGTTCCGCCCCCTGCGCCGGCCGAGGCGTAGCTGGCAAGCGGCAGAAACGGAGCAGGCCGACCACCAGCTGGCCCAGCCCAAGGGAGGTAAGGCACCCGCCGGAAAAGGGAAAAAAAAATGGCGGACAAAAAAATGGCGGACAGCCTTGCTTGGCGACCCCCGTGAAATGGTCGATCGACCCCAAATGGGGTCGCGACCCATAGGTTGAGAACCACTGGCCTAGAGAAAAGGCTGCTTGGCTTTTCCATGCGAAGATATCTTAAAAGGCTAGCCTTCTATGCATTTTGTGCTCCTGAGACGCAATTCATGGATGATTCCTTTAGAAATGGAATATACATTAAATAAACAACTATTTTAAAACTATCTAAATTTGCTAGTATTTATTAATAGAAGTTATGTTCATAAAGTTATTGGGATCGTTGCATTATCAGCATCCTTTATTGTTTACCATCTTGATTTGAAATAATTTTAATGGTGTTTACCATATACATTTGAATTGGCTTATCAGAGCACTGTAAACCACCATGGGTTTTTCTGATTTAGTGTTATACAAATGAAAACAAACAAATAAATCTGGAAGAAATTAGAAATGTATAATAAGTCTTTGCATACATGAAAACCCATTATGCTATTCACTATCAGGATAAATAACATTATGCAAAGTGCCAAAACTAATCAAAAATGAGATTTTAATGAGATTTAAAAAAGTAAAGGAAGAAGCATGGCCAAATCTATTTATACCTATATCATTTACTCACTATAAAGCTCCTTGCATACTTATCTATTTATTTATAGAGAATTCTGAGTAGCTTATGCCTGGACTGAAATGTGTGTTTCAGCAGCAACACCAGGTTGGATCCAGACTCAGGACATGTATGTTAGAAGCAGTAGCATCGTGGTGTCTAGCAATGTACGCGCTAAGAAGAGGTAAAAGAAAGGGAGTTGAGAAAGGATGGGAAAAGTGGGTGCGTGGATTTCATATGCATGGCAGTGGAGGCAGTAACAGTGGATCACTAATAGAAGGTAAGGAAAAAGAAGGTGTAGGAAGATCATGGGGAGGACTGGGCAAGCCAACAACGTACATGACCAAAACAGAAGGAACCACACTACTGAAAAGAGATAAAGAAAAGGCAGGCACAAAACGCTGGGGGAGGGATTGTGAGCCAGGAGCAGGAAGACATATAGGCCAGTAGTGGCGAACGTATGGCACGGGTGCCAGAGGCGGCACTCAGAGCCTTCTCTGTGGGCATGCGCGCCATGCCCCAGAGATGGCAACTGTCCCTCTTCAACCAGCCGCCCGCTAACTCGCTGAGGTCCCACATGGCCAGATGCATCCCAGCACCCATGCGCTCGCTGGCCTGTGTGCAGGGGCTGATGGTATCAGGCAGCAGCCGCCCCGGCCCCTGCCTCATCTTGCCCTGCAACAATGGCACTCCCACCCTGCCTTGCCTCACCACACAGGATGAGCCTCCTGCCCACCACCCCATCTGCCAGAGACCCCCCTGGATCTCCCTCAACCCTGCCTGGCCCCCGCATGCGTCCCTCCCCACGAGCAACATCGAGGTGATCACGCCCACCTTGGCAACACCCACCCAGTCTGTCATGATCACCACAGCCACGCCCACCCAGTGGGCCATGCCCACCTGGCACCCGGTGATAAATAAGTGGGTTTTGGGTTGCGGTTTGGGCACTCGGTCTCTAAAAGGTTCGCCATCACTGATATAGGCCATGTAGGGATTAAGGAGAGGAGCTCCAACTTTGCCCTAGTCATTCTCTAAAACCCCCTAAATTTGCTTCAGCCAGAAAAAGACAAGGAATTCTGGGGTTTTTTTTGGCTGGACTGAGATCCCACCTAGAGTGGCCCAACCAAACCTCCAAGCCTTGTTTGTTCTGTGCATGGAACAGAACATGTTTTCCATTTCATGCATACCTCTGCTGTCCTTGCAAACCTTCTCATCTCTCTGTTTTTCAGGATCTCAATTCAACCCAACCATCATTTTCTTAGAATGTCACTCTTCATATAGTATATCTGTTTTGTAATTCATTCCTGATTGTCTTTCAATTAACAAACCACCTCAATGTACTTATTTTGTACTTGTTGCTCATTTTTGTATTCAGTCCAAATTCATTAAGGATCCATATGTTCTTGGCCCCTTTGTTGCTTGTTTAATCACACATTCTTCTTAAATATCTCACCAACACTGCATTAAACTAACTTTTGATATTCCCAACTCTTGATATTCCCAACTTTTGATATTCCCAACTCTCACTTCTATATGCCAAAGCACACAACCATTGTTACTTCTTTTAATAAATGCTAATTCCTTGCAAAATGCCACATGCTATCTACTACATTTTTACCACTATTATGACTCTTTTCATCTTCCCCTCTGCAATAAACCTACTATGAAAGAATGGCCATGGGGAAAAAAAATCGACCCTCTTCAATGGAAAGGGGATCATTTCTTATAAAGAAACAAGGCACTTTAGCAGCAGCTTGTTACTTATTAGACTCAAATAATGAATAGGGAAAGACAGAAGATGAAAAGCTGAAGAGAGAAAATAAAATCTAGAAAGAAGAAAACCAGATGGGAAGGAGTGGAGAGAAGCATGTATAGGCTTTGTACAATGCTGAAGAACTTCTCTGTACAGGGAAAGGGAGAAAGACTGAAAGGCCTTAGTAGCTGCAGATTGCAGAAAGGCTTGACAGTGACAGATGCCATTCCACACTGGGAGAAAAAGAAGTGTCAACTCAGAGAGAGATAGTGCCAAGGAAGCCCAAAGGCTGCCCTGTGGAATCAGCTAAGCTCTTAGAGAGGGGCCAAACCAAGAAGAAAGGGAGGGAAGGAAAAGTGGTTTCTGTTCCACCACTTTGGTGTGCCAAGTAAATAATATAGTAGAGACTCATGAAGCTTAACAGAAGAGCCTTCAAGAGGTCTGAGAGGCTTAGCTGACTGTAGTACAACTACAGTGAGAGAGAGAAGAGAGAGAGAGAGAGAGAGAGAGGGAGGGAGAAAGAGGAGAGAGGAGAGAGAGAGAGAGAGAGAGAGAGGGAGGGAGAGGAGAGAGGAGAGAGGGAGGGAGAGAGTAGAGAGAGGGGGAGAGGGGAGAGGGAGAGAGGAAGAGAGGGAGGGAGAGAGAGGGAGAGGGAGAGAGAGAAGCAGTGGAGCTTGGGAAAGTACAGTGGAATATGGGAGAAGTCTCCTGGGAGAGAAGAAGCAGAGTCAAGAAGATGTGGTCAGAAGCCTCAGTAAAGCCCAAAGAAGTTGTATGGTAGCATCCGGAAGCAGCTTAAAGGAGTCTGAATGCATACCTTTGTTGCAGCTAGAATCATGACTGGGGCCTAATTACGATCCTAAGCATGAGACAGCTTTAAACAGCACAACAATAGTGTTCTTTGAATTTGAGGGCTTCTACTTGTTTAAGACAGATAATTTTGAAAAATCCAATTTTAGTAAAGCTTACACATCAGCTTGAACACAGCAAAGTTAGAAGATGCCAATCATATTTGTTGCTTATTTTCTTAACCTTGAAATTAACTAGCTATCTCAGGCAAGCAGAAGACATCTCAATTGCAGTCTGTCAAAATATTCTCACAAAAGGAAGCTGAAATCATGCTGTTTTCCCCCAATCAGTTAGCAAACCATTAAAATTTCTGTTAATAAATTGAATGCATTTTTCTCTTTTGATCAGGCATTTTACATGAGGTATCTGTGGTACTACTGTATCACTCAGAATTTAATTATTTAGAATAAATTTAATCATAGGTCATTAAACTGTGTAGTGCTTGACATTTTCACAATTTTCTAAAGCTTATTTCAAACTCTGACAACATTTGGTAAATACTTTGACAACACTTCAAATATATTGACAATTCAACTGAAAAACCAGTTTTTAATTTAGTTTAGATTATGAACTTTTGCCTCACAAAAAGGAATCAGGCTCATAAAATTCTTCCCTTCTATTTCCAATTTTAAAGAAACCACAATTTCTTAATATGTTTGAAATGTGATCAGCAAAAAGAGTACAATTTCCCCATCATATTTTTTGTGTGATTTCCTTTTACAGGAGTTACAACCAATTGTTCAACACTCTTCAAGGTTACAAGGCCACTGAACAAAGGGACTTTCAACTTGCCCTTGAAGTTTGGGCCATTGCAGCACTTCCACAGTCATGTAAATAAAATCGGGCCCTTGCAACTAGCTCCCACATATGACCAGGTGCAGCATTCCTCGTAAATTACTGCTGACCTTGTCTGCCAGCTTCCCACAAGCAAAGTCAAAGAGGAAGCTGTCACGAGGAAGGGTCACAAAATGCTTGGGAAATCTCCCTCACCCCAGCTTTTCTTTGCTCTTGCACACTGAACCCTCCTTCCCCTTTCACTAGTTTGCACCTGCCTGCACCCTCTTCCCCTCCCCGCCTCTTGACATTCATACACATATACCTGCACTCTCTTTCCTCAGCCTCCCTGCACTTGCATG